TGTTTTATGAATAAACACGATGTTTTGGAAATATTTATCAAAAGAAATTTATACTATGTTGCGAATTACAATTTCGAGATAACCTTCTTTTATTTACGAACTTATGTCTTTGATGCTGAAATTGACAACTTTATAAAAATACATTTTCACTGAAATTATGAAATCTGGGTGTCGGAAAGGTGTAAAATTATTCTTCGGAAAAGAAAAAAAACAGTAGTTGAGCTAGATAAGAAATTATACGGGGGCAGGCTCCTATGGAGAATTAACATTACTGGAAACAGGCCCTTTGAGAAATATCTGATGTTTGAAAATATTGGGTTTCTTTTGCCTTCGGAAGATCAGTGTGAGGTTTACATGCGTGTGTTTTACGTGTATCTTCCTGTACACACAGATCTAGTGATGAACATTAATGTTGACTGATAGTATATTTTATAAAATGCTAGCGTCAAGTTGTCATTAGTCTTTCCGGGCTTTGAAAATCCTGCTACTAGATTTTGCACAAAACACAAAATTTTCTTGAAATACGCGGAAAACGTCTGTGCCTCCAAATGTGTATTAGCTGTAGTATAATACTTATGTATATCATGTAGCTTTTAACGAAAGTTCTAGTCGAATCGAAATTTCATGATCTCTCACTCATTGGAATTCTTCTTTCCAGGTGAAAACGAGGGTAAAAGTAGGCTGAAGGTGTACACAAATGGCACATACTTCGGAGAACACCCTATTACCGTCATACTACCGACGCTTAACCCTTACCAGGCTCCAGCTTTTCTCTCCCAAATTCTGCGAGTACCAACAGATAACAGGGATGCGCTAGACAAAGCCTTAGCCAAAGTTTACCAGACCAGTCTCCCGGAGGATGATGCTTTAGAATGTATTCTTGGGGACTTCTACGACGATGCATTGCCACGTAAGTAATATCACGTGTTCTAACTCTGTATGAATTTTATAAATCCTTTTTAAATACATTTGCAAGAAAAGTATTTGTAATTTATATATTTTTTTTTGTATACATGTATATATTATTTAGATTTTTTCCCAAGATAACGTTTTCTGTCATATCTACTGAAATAATATGTGTATAAAAACGGGTATAGACAATGTGTGTTATCTTTTTACACAAACTAAGTATCGGTTTTGCATACAAATATATTAGCATGAACTTCTACCAATCTTTCATTTAATGTTTACACAGAACGAAGCAAGCATGAAATACCCACGCTTCTTCATTTTGCCGCCAAAAATGGACTGAGTGAGCTGTGTTCTTTGCTCCTTGACACACCTGGTTCGTTGGCAGCCTTTCAACAGGAGAACCGAGACGGCTATGACCCTGCTGATCTGGCAGACAAACACGGGCATACAGAGCTATGCGATTACCTTCGAGCCTTTGTCGTAAGTTTTGTACTATAATACTTTCAACTATCAAAAGTATTTTATTGACAATACATATATAATACAAACATATAAGTTAACATTAAAGAAGATATTAGAACATTATTGACAAAAGAATAAGACAACAGGCTTTGCCTATATCTGTCTTCTATTTCCGGTAGCTATGTACAATGCTTAAATATATAAAATGTTGCGATTCGTTTTCCTCTCACATTCATGCACACCCACACCCACTATAATACCATGTTGAGAATTCTACAATTTATACAAAAATGGAATATAATAACTGTAAATAACCAGTAGACGTACAGTACGTATAACACGTTTGTTTAAGCGAATGACTATAGCGAATGTTAATAGGGTCGGAAGAAACGACACGAATCGCAAAGCTCAGAGAAGTGAGCTCATGATCAGTCATCATATACTGAAGCCAAATTGTAGCTATTCTATTGTTGTTAGTATGTGAAGTAGTAGACCGTGAGTTTGTACTCATGTTATCTTCCTGGTTCATTTTAAATGACGTTCTTGTTTTCTTACTTTACATTTTTCATGAAAATGTCAATTCAATCTATTAATAGTTTGGGAAAGTACAGCAAACAGGGTGTGCGTCATTCGGCAATAGCATTTAGCACTACTTTTTACTTAACTAAAACCTTTAAATGTGAATATCCAGATCGACACAAATTGGTACGAAACCTCAGACTAGCCATTTTAAGTTTGAGATAGTATTGTCATCTTTATCTATATTATTTGTTAACATTTTTTTCTTTCGGCAAATAATCTGTTCAAATAAACATTATCATTATTTGGAATAAATGAACTTTGGCTTCAAAAGTTTATTTAATATTTAGAGATATACTTACCATCCCCCATCACTCATGTGAAGTGTTGTTTTTTTCCCAGAATCTGTGTGACGCCATAAAAAAAATCTTCTTAAACATGTTTATAAAAAGCAATTTGGGATTGACTGAAAATTCACCAGAACGTGACTGAATCAGTGATATACTATCCTTCCGGTAATGTATTGCCTATTGAAGTCGGCCGCAGTGAATATTTAGACGTGTATATATCCCTACTGAAACAGTCATCTATGAAAGCACCCTTTGGCAAATAAGATTCTATACGGAGATATACATAATGAATTTGCCTAATTTTGACCAGGTATGCCCGTGTTTATTAGGCACGTTTTATATCGAGCAAATTGCGCATAATTACTTTTTCTATAAACAAGATTCACCGTATGTTTATTAAAAAGATAATGTATGTGTATTATATATTGCTTCCTGCTATTAAATGTTTTGTTTGGGTTTAGCTTCATCAGAAATGGTAGAATTGTCACATGTGATAATGTGTTACAACCAAGGCCCCATAAATAAAAATGACCCAGTGCGTTTTTGATAAGTGCTACTATGTTGTAACATACATTATTATCATACTATATTGTAATCATACTATATTGTTATCATACTATATTGTTGATATACAAATTTGTTTTCATACTATATTGTTGACAAACATTGTTATCAAACTTCGTAGTTGATATACATTGTTATCATTCTATATTGTTGACATACATTGTTATCATACTATATTGTTGATATACACTGTTATCAACTTCTTTGTTGACAAACATTGTTATCATACTATATCGTTGACAAACATTGTTATCATACTATATCGTTGACATACATTGTTATCATACTTCTTTGTTGACAAACATTGTTATCATACTATATCGTTGACAAACATTGTTAGCATACTATATTGTTGACAAACATTGTTATCATACTATATCGTTGACAAACATTGTTATCATACTATATCGTTGACATACATTGTTGTCATACTATATCGTTGACAAACATTGTTATCATACTATATCGTTGACATACATTGCTGTCATACTATATTGTTGACAGACATTGTTATCATACTATATTGTTGATATACACTGTTATCAACTTCTTTGTTGACAAACATTGTTAACATACTATATCGTTGACAAACATTGTTATCATACTATATCGTTGACAAACATTGTTAGCATACTATATTGTTGACAGACATTGTTATCATACTATATCGTTGCCATCCATTGTTATCATGCTATATTGTTGACATACATTGTTATCATACTTTATCGTTGACATACATTGTTATCATACTATATCGTTGACAGACATTGTTATCATACTATATTGTTGACAGACATTGTTATCATACTATATCGTTGCCATCCATTGTTATCATGCTATATTGTTGACATACATTGTTATCATACTATATTGTTGACATACATTGTTATCATACTATATCGTTGACATAAATTGTTATCATACTATATCGTTGACATACATTTTTGTCATACTATATCGTTGACAAACATTGTTATCATGCTATATTGTTGATATACATTGTTATCATACTATATTTTTGACATACATTGTTATCATACTATATTGTTGACACACATTGTTATCATACTATATTGTTGACAGACATTGCTATCATAATATATTGTTGATATACATTGTTATCATACTATATTTTTGACATACATTGTTATCATACTATATTGTTGACAGACATTGCTATCATAATATATTGTTGATATACATTGTTATCATACTATATTGTTGACAGACATTGCTATCATAATATATTGTTGATATACATTGTTATCATACTATATTGTTGCCATACATTCTTATCATACTATATTGTTGACAAACATTGTTGTCATACTATATTGTTGATATACATTGTTATCATACTATATCGTTGACAAACATTGTTAGCATACTATATTGTTGACAGACATTGTTATCATACTATATTGTTGACATACATTGTTGTCATACTATATTGTTGATATACATTGTTATCATACTATATCGTTGACAAACATTGTTAGCATACTATATTGTTGACAGACATTGTTATCATACTATAGTGTTGATATACATTGTTATCATACTATATTGTTGACATACATTGTTGTCATACTATATTGTTGATATACATTGTTATCATTCTATATCGTTGACAAACATTGTTATCATACTATATCGTTAACAAACATTGTTATCATACTATATCGTTGACATACATTGCTGTCATACTATATTGTTGACAGACATTGTTATCATACTATATTGTTGACAGACATTGCTATCATAATATATTGTTGATATACATTGTTATCATACTATATTTTTGACATACATTGTTATCATACTATATTGTTGACACACATTGTTATCATACTATATTGTTGACAGACAGTGTTATCATACTATATTGTTGATATACATTGTTATCATACTATATCGTTGACAAACATTGTTAGCATACTATATTGTTGACAGACATTGTTATCATACTATATTGTTGACAGACATTGCTATCATAATATATTGTTGATATACATTGTTATCATACTATATCGTTGACAAACATTGTTAGCATACTATATTGTTGACAAACATTGTTATCATACTATATCGTTAACAAACATTGTTATCATACTATATCGTTGACAAACATTGTTAGCATACTATATTGTTGACAGACATTGTTATCATAGTATATTGTTGACAGACATTGTTATCATACTATAGTGTTGATATACATTGTTATCATACTATATTGTTGACATACATTGTTCATACTTCTTTGTTGACAAACATTGTTATCATTCTATATTGTTGACATACATTGTTATCATACTATCTCGTTGACAAACATTGTTATCATACTATAGTGTTGACAGACATTGTTATCATACTATATCGTTGCCATCCATTGTTATCATGCTATATTGTTGACATACATTGTTATCATACTATCTCGTTGACAAACATTGTTATCATACTATAGTGTTGACAGACATTGTTATCATACTATATCGTTGCCATCCATTGTTATCATGCTATATTGTTGACATACATTGTTATCATACTATATCGTTGACAGACATTGTTATCATACTATATTGTTGACATACATTGTTATCATACTTCGTTGTCGTCGTACTATATTTACACACGATTCTGTAATACAGGACGTGGAGACCACTGTTCAAGCATGTGAAGACATTTATTTGGAGATGAGTGGCAGAAGTCTGTATGCAAACCAGCACGAATTGAACGTACAGACAGGTACGCATACTTGGAATGACGAATTATAAACATCGATAATAACTATCTAGAAATCAATTATACGCCAGCGTCAGATAGAACAAGTTTGTTCTTAAAAGTTAACACAAGAAAAGGAAAAGGTGCCGAGGTAAAATTTAAATAAAACGATCCCTTCATAATAACAAGTGTTCCGGAAGTGCAAACGTCCTACATACAACATGCGGTGTCTTCCGTCCAACTTTGCAAAACATAATGTAGACATATTTTTGTATGAAATCATAAACCTAGTTAGTATAGCTCCTTTTATATTTTTATATTCCTTCACGCACTTTTGAACAATTGGATCAAATGGCTTGATTGAAGGTGACAACATCGATATATTTTATTTTTATTTCAGATCCACCTCCAAAACAGCTTCGTGATGATGACACATTCAACGTAGATCTACCACAACCACTTTCACGATGTAAGTAGCGTATAGCATAGATACATTATTTATCAACTTTAAGGTCAAATACACTGCAGTCTTTGCATCATCAGGAATTTCCAATATCTGTATCTGATGTAAAACCTGTCATAGGAATTTAACTCCTAATTATTTAACGATAGCCAATAAAATCAATTGGTTTTCTTTCCTACCAGCTCCTAGAAAAAGCAGACGTCACAGCGAACCGACGCCCAACTCATCACGCCCACCACTCCCCGCTCCAAGGAAATCTCCTGGAAAGCGACATCAGACACCTGAGGAATTCATGGGGATGACAGACCCAAACCCCCAGACTTCCGGTAAGTGACGTCACAGATAGTTTGTTGATATTTACTGTCCTCAAGTAGTCAAGTTCATCAAAACTAATAGTAAGGTGTGTTACAGTATTTTTGTTTTGTTTCAGGAAGATCAGCAACTTTAGGCAGTACTAGTTCCGCTGCAGAAAGTGAACTAATTGGCATCCTTTCTGCAGTCAAAGATGGAGAGTTCACTCTCAGCGAAGCAGAACGTTTATACGAATCATGGAAAAAACATAATCACTCCCATTCCGTATCCATGAAAGAACGTAAAGAGGGCCTGGATACGTTGAGAAATGAATACGTTACCATGTTCGATCTCGTCAAGGAAAAGAACAAAGAAAAGGGCGTTTTCAAGAAAATCAAGAATAAGCTGGTCAAAAAGAAGTCGCAACAAGATCTAAAAATATCGGTAAGATTGTGAAATAACTGCAAAGACATAAATGTTTCCCTATACTCATAGCTACTCGTATTTGTGAATACATTGTAAATTACTTTATGATATTCATGTTTACTTTACTTTATTAATGAAACTCAGTAAAGGTTGTAGATATTGAAGTTGCTAACTAATTTCTCGTTTTTCTTTATTTCAATATAATTCCTTTATATCGCGAACTATTAATGCATTGTAACATGCGTGTGAGATGATGCTGCCAAGAATTTCATAACCCTTGATGAACAGCATTTGATACCTAATGAATAAAAGAGTTAAACTTTGTGCTTTATTCGAAACAGACACCCACCCTCCTGAGAGGAAGCACGACATCTCAACATGTTTATAATCGCAACAGTGGTTCTAGTAAGTTATTTTAATAGTTAGATAAAACATTTAATAACATTTCACCTTTACGTAAGATTAAATCCATGCATCTTTTCGATATTATGATATATTACTAGATAAATGGTATGACTTAAAGAAGGTTTTATGCTTTTACTATTTTTGCTATTACTTTCCAGTGATATTTTACTGCGAGGTATAGAAACTAAAAAAAATCAATAAAAATAGCAAAACCTTCGGGCCGCGAAAATATTTCTGTCTATATTATCGGAATAATACGGAAGAGCATAAGAGCAATGAAGTAAAAAAAAACGGAATTCATTTCGTTTCTAGGTATGCAAATATCATGAGATATTATGTTCAAATCCAAATTTCCCATCCTTTAAAAATCGATTTTCGTTTTGGTGGATACTTTTCCGTATAGACATCCTTGATATACCGCACGCTAAATTTTATAGTTTGTGACTCTCAACTTTTTCTTAATAGAATAATGAAAATTGCTGATTATCAACTTATAAATACAAAAATCGATAGTGATTGCTGCTAATGAATATAAATTCTTTTTTCTTTATCCTTATACATGTATTTCATTTGAGTTCACATTGAACTAAAACTGTATCCAAAATCATAAAAATGTAATTAATTACTGTATACATGATATATAATTACAGGTGATGGCAGCAGGGCATCCGGAAGTAGTCAGGCCTCGGCCTCGAGTTACGACATGGGCTTCGCCGGAAGTGATTCTGACGACCTTCTGGTAAATATAAGAAATTCCTGTTCCATCTCATCTGATCAAGACCTGGCATCTTCTTTGATCGAACAATTACTAAGATACACACCTCAATATTCAAATCTTAAACATATCTTATTGGCTTCTGATACAACCACATATCCTAAAAGTATAATGACAAATTTGAAACTGAAAATTCCTGTTCCATCTCATCTGATCAAGACCTGGCATCTTCTTTGATCGAACAATTACTAAGATACATACCTCAATATTCAAATCTTAAACATATCTTATTGGCTTCTGATACAACCACATATCCTAAAAGTATAATGACAAATTTGAAACTGAAAATTCTGTGTGAATTTGACATAGTTTAACAATGTATATAAAGCTGCTGTTATTCAACAATAATAAACATGATAAGTCAGACTCACCATAGCTACTAGGATACGATGGTCAGTTTCTCTAACTTTTACCTTGATACATTTTATAGGATGAAGACGAGGAAGAATCTTCGGGAGAAGAAGCTTTCCACACGAGGAAGTCCCCTGTCGCTAGTAAAGAGGCTGAGGCGGGGGAAGTGCAGATGAGGCTGTCAACATCATCCAACCATTCACGAGAGGTAAAGTGACTGTGTATCATGTTTGACTGGTACTGTCTTGTTACTGTTACGTTCACATGTGTCAGCGTGAAATGTTAAAGATGGTTGACTAGCATAAAACATAGCCGAACTTAAAAATTCTTTTATTCTTCAGAATCTTGTTACTGGTGTGTCATTGCTAAGATTATAATCTATTTATGAAAGAGCGAGTATTAATAGAAACAAGGTTGTGTTATACAGCTAACTAGTATTTCCAAAATAATATAATAAGCCATGTGAAAATGGTGCTGTGCATTGAAACCAACTTGGTCTTATTTCTTAAAGCATAAGGAAGTATAATTGTTTGGAAGTTTTTGATATCAATAAAGATAGTTTCAAACACTGATGACTTATCATTGGTAACAGAAGGTATATGATTTCAAAACTAACTTATCAAATAATACCTACCATGCAGTTGTAACATGAAAATAACCAGTACATGATTCTTACTTAATGAATGTGCGATTTAAAATCCAAATCAACAAAGATAAATATCATAACTGAATGTCGAATGACGTATATTTTCTCTCAAAATCCATGTTTTGCGTACTTATCTTATCTAAAAGATAAATCTTCTTCGCACAGGAAATACAGCAAAAGCCTGTTAAATGTCATAAAAATCATTTCAAACAAATAACAAATAAAGCCTTCAGTTGCTATCACATTAAGAGTTTTTTTTTATTTATTTCAACCACTCTCTACTCCAGGCACGTAAGACGATGCGCCTTGAATTCCTAGAGACCGCAAGGTCGTTTGACGACGAGGCGCCGCCTCTACCACCGAGGACCTACAACCAGTGTTAAACGCCCGTGAAGACTACTCGTCGAAGAAATTGCAAGCGACCTGTTATATTATCTGGCTTAAAAAGTTTCCGATATATATACAGATCAATCTATTTGTTTCTGAGAAGACATGATGCGTGCTTTCCGTTGTGACAAGTTCCTATCAGCATTGAGCTCTTTTCAAGAAAAACATTATTTGTGAGTCCAAGCGTGACCAGTTCCTATCAGCGTAGAGCGCTTATACAAACTACATTATATTTGTGATTCTAATTATGAACCATTCACATTCATACATTCCCGAAATATTTGTGTTTCACATCGTAACACTTAAATAACAGTGGACCAGTTCTACTCTGATCACGACTTGTGTTCTATTGTGAGGAACATTTAATGACAAACAAAAGTGTGTGCTTTATGCTGCGACATATTGAATCTTTTCCTCGTGGGAATTAGCTTAAAGTCTGGCCAGAGGATACAAAGTCAGCTTTAGCAAATTTAACATGCCTTTATTTATCTTTATAATAATATGCATTTTTAAATTTTTAATCATAAACTTTTTTTTTTTTTTCATTTTGCTACAAAAAAATATCTCATTTTCAGACACCTCTATGATAACATTGTATCCTTGTTCAGCCAGTATTTGCCCTCGACTTCCATCTTGTCATTTGTGTAAGCACGTGTGTCACGTGTATCTACTTTGTGTGTTTAGTATTAAGGATCCCGTACCACTGCCAAAAACTGTAACAAAGTGTTGGAAGCTATTTACCGGTAAGACTGTAGTATTGATAAATCATTACTGAAAAGAAAACCATACCTTACGAGACGTTCATGAGAAATAACGATATAAATAAGATATTATAATATCGCTCTCGCTGATTAAGCTACCCGCCAGTCAGAAGTGTTCTGACCACATTTTCTACAGTTTTATCCAAACGGAAGTTAAGGGGCGGGTGGGGGGAGGGGGTTACTGTATAAAGGATAAAACAAGGTACAGTGGGACGGGGAACCTTAAACAGATTGATAAGAAAAGTGCAATATATATTTATATATTATGAAAGCAGAAAAATGATCCTGACGGACGATAAAGGTAGAACTATGATGTATTAAATATATCTTAAGATACTATAAATAATTTTAATATATAAGTTTAGTAACAAAAAACAGCCTAGCGTGTATATCACGATAACAATGTATATGTGTTGTTATACTTCATCTAGCCTCTAGTCTGATATAATTTCGTCATGTATGCAAACATCGTTTACTCTGATTTCGAAAACATGTGAACTTCATCATCAAGACCCTTTTTGTTTTACCAAACAGTAGTACAGATTGCACGTTGATTTTTTGAGAAATGATATTCACATCTTTGGTACTTAAATTTGTATTGTAAATAAAATCCGCTTATGACAGTGATTATTTTCGCGGTGTTACTTAAAAAAAACTCATTTCAGAGATCTAATTTCGAAACAAATGAAGCTAATGATGTTCTCATTGACTCAGTATCAACTCTCTTTGAGAGTCAACGAGAAAATATTTATATCACAATAAAAAAACATAAAACATTACTTATAAACATATTGCTGTTACCTGCACGATGTATGTGAAAGTAACTTTCGCGTATAACCTTTAAGCTTATTACACTAGAAAACATTTTTTTCAAATCAAATCTACATATGCAAGAATTAGAAAGTGATAAATGAAATATTACTGTCACGAAATCTATATGAAAACACGAAATGCATTCTTGAGAAATAATAACAGTATTAACGCTTACTATGGCATTGATAGGCTGGCTTAGTATGTTTTATACGTATTGATTAAATAAATAATGTTATATAAACACAAAGATAATGTTATATAACCCATCCTGTGAACTTTACGTTAGTCAAAAGTAACTGTGATATCTTTTTCAGTATTTTAGTTATTGGTGCTTATATAGCCTATGACATTTAAATATATTGATGTAAATAAGTGACAGATAATAAATGTACTATTACATAAGTAATGACGGTTTCACCAGTTAATGTAACATTATAACAGAATTTTCGAGACGTAGAGCTAAATTTGTACTTCATTTTAATGCAAGTTTGAGAGTGATAACAGTATAGTTATTTGATACTTACGCTGAAACGCCTATAGGTGCCTTATATATAATGCGTATAGCTATCGTTACTATGATCTTTTATTTGAAATTCAGTTAAATCTCTTTCAACATTTATTTGAAATGTATTGCATTATTTAACTTCCGTATCCAATTCATCATGAAACTAAGATTTCTGTTTAAAATAACAATAAACTCTAACTATGTTATCACGCGGATGCAAGACATCGTAATGTTGTGTTGTATCATCAATGAACAATGTATACAACGACGAACAATGTATAAAGTACAGTGAACGATGTATACAACGAACAATGTATAAAGTATAGTGAACGATGTATATAGTACAGTGAACGATGTATACAACGAACAGGTATACAGTGAACAATGTATACAACGAACAATGCATACAACGAACAGGGATACAGTGAACGATGCATTCAACGAACAATGTATACAACAAACAAGCATCTAGTCAACAGTGTATACAATAAACAATGTATACAACAAACAAGCATCTAGTCAACAGTGTATACAATAAACAATGTATACAACGATGAATGTATACATGTACAGTGGACGATGTATACAACGAGCAGGTATACAGTGAACAATATATACGGTGAACAATGTATACAATTAACAATGTATACAATGAACAATGTATTGTATACAACGAACAGGTATTCAGTGAACAATGTATAAAACGAACAATGTATACAAGGACGAACAATGTATAAAGTACAGTGAACGTTGTATACAACGAACAGGTAAACAGTGAACGATGTACACAACGAACAATGTAAACAACGAACAATGTATAAAGAACAGTGAACGATGAATACAACGAACAATGAATACAACGAACAGGAATACAGTGAAAAATGTATACACCGAACAATGTATAAAGAATATTGAACGATGTATACATGTACGATGAACGATGTATACATGTACGATGAACGATGTATACATCGAACAGGTATACAGAGAACAATGTATACATGTACGGTAACGATGGATACAACGAACAATGAATACAACGAACAATGAATAAAGTATAGTGAACAATGTATAAAACGAACAATGTATAAGGTATAGTGAACGATGTATACATGTACGGATGTATACATGTACGGAGAACGATGTATACAACAAACAAGCATCTAGTCAACAGTGTATACAATAAACAATGTATACAACGACGAACAGTGTATAAAGTACAGTGAACGTTGTATACAACGAACAACGTATAAAGTATAGTGAACAATGTATATAGTACAGTGAAAGATGTATACAACGAATAATGTATAAAGTATAGCGAACGATGTATACAACAAACAAGCATCTAGTCAACAGTGTATACAATAAACAATGTATACAAAGAACAGGAATACAGTGAACGATGTTGTGTTGTATCATCAATGAACAATGTATATAGGACAGAGAACGACAAATACAAAGAACAGGAATACAGTGAACGATGCATACAACGAACAGGGATACAGAGAACAATGTATACAAGGAACAATGTATACATTGAACAATGTATACAGTGGACAATGTATACAACGATGAATGTATACATGTACTGTGAACGATGTATACAACGGACAATGTATAAAGTACGGTGAACGATGTATACATATACAGTGAACGATATATACAATGAACAATGTATACAAAGAACAATGTATACAGCGAACAATGTATACACGTACAGTGAACGATGTATTGTATCATCAATGAACAATGTATTGTATACAACGAACAGTTATACAGTGAAAAATGTATACACCGAACAATGTATAAAGAATATTGAACGATGTATACATGTACGATGAACGATGTATACATGTACAGTGAACGATGTATACAACGAACAATGTATACAACGAACAATGTATACAACGAACAATGTATACATGTACGGTGAACGATGTATACAACGAACAGGTATACAGTGAACGATGCATACAACGAACAGGTATACAGTGAACGATGTATACCACGAACAGGTATACAGTGAACGATGTATACAGTGAACAATGTATATAGTACAGTGAACGATGTATACAACGAACAGGTATACAGTGAACGATGTATATAGTACAGTGAACGATGTATACATGTACGGTGAACGATGTATACAACGAACAGGTATACAGTGAACGATGTATACAACGGACAGGTATACAGTGAACGATGTATACAACGAACAGGTATACAGTGAACGATATATACAATGAACAATGTATACAATGAACAATGTATACAATGAACAATGTATACCTGCATTATTCCTTGATGGAAGAATTGGATTGTTACATAACGTATATAATTTTAAATTGTTGCAAACATTCTGATTTAATAAAAAAGACATTAATTTATATGGCTGTCAGTTGTTTTTACATACAGTAAAGTAGATATTGAGTTTTTCTATTCTTCTTCCTGCAGAAAGTGACTTTAAAACGCCGATCAAAAGGATAACGGCAACAAGAGACATGAAACCTACGAAAATTTAAAGTTGATAAGCTTTTTTATCACAACCAAACTAACATATACATATTATGCCTTATAAAACCAAATAAAGAACTGATTAAACCGGATCTGCAGATATCGACCATACTTTTGGTATCTTTCAAAATCTTTGTATTCTATGAAGAGCTTCGTGTCCCTGGTAATCGTTGATGAATATATATTATAACGAGAAAAGTTTTGTAAATAAAATAATCGCTTTTTATGACCAATTAAAAAGTAAGTAAACGGAAAAGTAGTCGAGTTCCACATTTTCGGTTTTGAAGGATGTCCTGTCACCGCTGAACATACATTATATGGCATTGAACTAGATACCAATAGAAATCCTGATAACATTTCAGAATTATTTCCTTTTATCTACTCTTAATAAACACTGGCATGTAACTCAAAGGCAATACAAATAAATTAATGATGCAATTTATGTGAAAGAGAATATCCAAATGAACAAGAGGCCCAATGGGCCTGAATCGCTCACCTGGTTTTAATCACACACTTGTAATCTTAAAAGTGGACTAAAATAAAACTACAGGCAGAATATCAGTGTTTGATTCATAAAAACATGTGACGCCTGTGACCTTGAATGTCGAACAAGGACATTAGGTTGAACAGAGTATATAGTCTTCAAACCTAGCATGCTTCTAGCAAAATATCTGGACCTTTTGGTTATACAGAACAAATCATTTATGGTTTTAAACATATTTGACCCCTGTGACCTTGAATGTCGAACAAGGACATTAGGTTGAACAGAGTATATATTCTTCAAACCTAGCATGTTTCTAGCAAAATATCTGTACCTTTTGGTTATACAGAAAAAATCATTTATGGTTTTAAACCTATTTGACCCCTGTGCCCTTGAATATAAGTCAAGGTCATTTATTTGAACAAACTTGGTAGTCTTTCATCAAAGCATGTTACATGCCAACTATCATCAACCTAGGCCTCTCGGGTATTCAGAAGAAGTTGTTTAAATGTTTTAAACATATTTGACCCCTGTGACCTTCAATATAAGTCAAGGTCATTTATTTGAACAAACTTGCTAGTTTTTTTTATCCCAGCATGTTAATGGCCAAATGTAAGCATCCTAGGCCTTTTGGTTGTTCAGCAGAAGTTGTTTAAATGTTTTGAACATATTTGACCCCTGTGACCTTGAATATAAGTCAAGGTCATTTATTTGAACAAACTTGCTAGCCCTTCATCCAAGCATGTTACTGGCCAAATTTAGGCACCCTAGGCCTCTTGACTATTCAGAAGAAGTTGTTTAAATGTTTTGAACATATTTGACTCCTGTGACCCAAAATATTTGTCAATTTCATTCATTTTAACAAACTTGGTAGTCCTTCATCTTAGCATGTTACTGGCCAAATATCCTTATCCTAGGCCTCTTAGTTATTCAGAAGAAGTTGTTTAAAGATTTTTTAAGACAATTGACCCCTGTGACCTTGAATATTTGTCAAGGTCATTTATTTGAACAAATTAGGTAGCCCTTTATCCCAGCATGCTTCTGGCCAATTATCATCACTCTGGGCATTTTGGTTAGTCAGAAGAAGTTGCTTCAAGTTTTTAACATATTTGACCCCTGTGACCTTGAAAATAGGTGAAGGTCATTTATTTGAACAAACTTGGTAGCCCTTCATTCCAGTTTGCTTCTGGCCAAATATCATCACCCTATGCCTCTTGGTTATTAAGTAGAAGTTGTTTAAAGTAAAATATTGACGCCGGACGGACGACGGATGCCGCACCACAGCATAAGCTCACTTGGCCCTTCGAGTCAAAACACAATTCACTTTACAAATATTGACAAGTTATTCACAAATAATAACGAGAAAAGTTATGGTTGAAATCGATACGACTTTAAATCGTATGCCAGCAACCAGGTTATGTCTATGTACTCCTCGTAAAAGGAAGTTTATAAAACAGTTCTTGTAGGTCAAATAAGAGACAAGTTCCTCTCTACTTAAAACTTGTTATCTATCTGGGCCATAGACACATAAAGTAGGCGGAGCCAGTGGGCCAGAGACAAAACCTTCATACACCTGGTCATATCTACAGGTAGGCCGAGCCAGTGGGTCCGAGACAAAACGTAAGCACATGTACATCTGGTCATATAGTAGGCCGAGTCAGTGCACGTGGGACAGAGACAAAACCTTAAAACACCTGGTCATATCTACAGGTAGGCCGAGCCAGTGGGTCAGAGATAAAACCTTAAAACACCTGGTCATATCTACAGGTAGGCCGAGCCAGACATTTACCTGTACTGATAAACTTCCTGTAGGATATGCCTTAACGAAACCTGCATGTTTTGGAAAAATCCTGCTTCGGTGCATTTATTTACATGTACTTTGAGAAGAATATTTCTTTTCAATAACAAGATTCTAATAACGTCAGGAAATGTAAAACGTGTTCTTGGTCGAATAGAAATGTAGATCTTGACTAAATAGACGTAGAACTTGACACGGAAGGATGTGTAAGGCTCGACATGACAGCACAGAGAAATAACCGGATTTCGTCCAAAATACATGTTCAATGGGCCTGAATCGCTCACCTGGTATTAATCTCACACTTGTAATCTTAAAAGTGGACTAAAATGCAGCTACAGGAAGAATATCAGTGTTTGATTCATAAGAGCCTATTAAAAGATTTAAACATATGACACCTGTGACCTTGAATGTCGAACAAGGACATTAGGTTGAACAGAGTTTAAAGTCTTCCAACCCAGCATGCTTTTGGCAAAATATCATAACCTTGGACCTATTGGTTATGCAGAACAAGTCATTTAAAGATTTAAACATATATTGCCCCCTGTGACCTTGAATATGGGCGAAGGTCATTCATTTTGACAAAATTGGTAGCCCTTCATTCCAGCCTGTTGATGACCAAATATCATCGGCCCCTGTGACCTTGAATATTTGTAAAGGTCATTCATTTGAACAAACTTGGTAGCCCTTTATCCTGGCATGTAATTGGCCAAATATCATTATCCTAGGCTTCTTAGTTATTCAGAAGAAGTTGTTTAAAGGTTTTAAACATATTTGACCCCTGTGACCTTGAATATATGTGGGGGTCATTCATTTGAACAAACTTGATAGCCCTTTACCCCAGCATGCTACTGGCCGAATATCATCCTCCTGGGCATTTTGGTTATTGAGAAGAAGTTGTTTAAAGTTTTAAACATATTTGACCCCTGTGACCTTGAATATGGGTGAAGGTCATTCGTTTAAACAAACTTTGTAGCCCTTCATCTCCGCATGCTACTGGCCAAATATCATCACCCTAGGCATTTTGGTTATTCAGAAGAAGTTGTTTAAAGTTTTTTTAAGACAATTGACCCCTGTGACCTTGAATATAATTGAAGGTCATTCATTTGAACAAACTTGGTAGCCCTTCACCCAAGCATGCTACAGGCCCAATATCAGTACCCTAGGCTTTTTGGTTATTGAGAAGAAGTTGTTTAAAGCAAAAAGTTGACGCCGGACAGACGGACGCCGGACGCCGGACGACGGACGGACGACGGATGCTGCACCATAACATAATGATGGTTGCGAACCTGATGCAATAAAAGCTTTACCCTTAAGAAACACCTGGTCCCGACTCCGATTTACAAGTTTCTTGATTTTTGCTGATATCTTTTCGCATCGACTGAAATCTTCTTTTATTTACTTCGTATTCCCGGTGATTATGGTTGCATGACCTTCAGTCCCCGAAGTCGTCGTAACTTTGTTCATTGAATTTATTACATAGAATTAATCACACTCTGAACTACAGTAAGTTGATGGATGAGAATAACGGTAATTTCAGACACAATGAGGTACCAGGTATTTGAAAAGTAAAATGGAATATGGAAGCAGAGTTCAAAGAAAATGATTTGACACCATGGCACTGAAATTATGTTTAATGCCAGTTTTTTTTCCTTATTGATAAAAAAACATTAAATACGATGACCGTCTAAGTCAGATTCTGTCTAAATGATGATATAGTTTTATATCCTGGTAAGAATTACCTGTATTTTCATTAATTTTTGAATTTGATGTATTTTTATGAATGACAGGTAAATTAAAATGTCTTTAAGATTTACTGTGGCTCCCATCTTCCTTGATGGACATATTTCCTGGAATCATCACTGGCGTCAAATGGCGATCCTCCCGAGTTGTTACGTTCTGTATTTCCTTTTATTTTGATATCTCCTCATTTCCCAATGTCTTTATATTCTAAAACTGTCCTGGAATGTTGATTTTATGGTTTCTTTGATTTTTACTTCATCCTAATAAATAAATCTTTATGTGAAATTACAATATAGTGTCAGAAAAAAGGCGGTGGTATTTTTATTAATTCTTCCACGTAAATGCAGCTATGATTGGTTGTTAGTTTATTATGTGCAAGTGTACTTTTAGAACAATGAAATGATCACCTTTGACCATAAAACCTATATTTCATTGGTGAACATACATAACGATAATGGTGAGAATGATAACAGCCCGCAGTTAAAGAAACCAGAAACACAGACATCCTTACTATAAACTGTACATGTCTTTATTTTCATGCTCAACGTGTTCAATTTATGACAATGGACATTACAATGCATGATGGGAAATGTTTGGGTAAGGCTATGATTTTATAAATCATAACCTTGTTTATATTTAACACCAGTTGGTGTTTCTGTAGAACGATTTATGTAAATGCATTTTGAGATACCTGTACATCCAGCTTCTATGGTAATCTTGTACATCCAGCTTCTATTGTAATTTCACATTGTACTGTAAGACTTTAAGGAGGTAGATTTCCCTATTAACACTGATAGCAAGTAGGAAACCCTTATAACAATCACACCCAAGCACAACACTTTGGGCAGGTTTCACTTTGGGCAGGTTTCTTTTGGTAATATAAACTGCAGCATTCCTTAAGTCATTTTTCCCATCATACCAAAATAAATCAATTGCATTATTTGACTGAACGAACAGTTCTGCATTTATTTCTTTAGTTGAAAATCAATAAATTTTACCAAATTTATTTCTCTTGATTGTGACTGCAATATATTTCCCAGGATCCCGAGGGGAACCTTGGAGAAGGAACTTGAATAATTGTCAATACTGTATCATTATCATAACTGTGTAAATAAATCTCTTTCTGTATCATAAACTTAGAGTAAATATTCTGACCATGCTTTAGAACTTTTCAAAGTTCCCTCTGTTAAGGCCATATGCTACCTTACTAAGACAATTATTGCTTTTCCAAAAGCATTCCACATTAAGAAACATGTATGAATCAAACCTCATAGAAATGGATATGTGGTCCTGGTTTCAATACATATTTGATAACAAAATAAATTTGAAAAGCACAGAACAAAGTTATTCTGATCATAACATAATACAAATTAAATATATTTAAAGAAGATAACTTGAATACAAATCACCAGTATATTGTGCAAGGTAGCATATGGCCTTAACATACAACTTTCTCACTTAAAAAGCTCTTGTTTAAATATTAATCCAGAAAAAATACAAATCTGTCAAATAAAACATTCAATGTCTAGCTGTATGTCTTCTTAGCATTACCAAACATTGGTAGTCAAGTTCTGCAAAGTTTTTTCCCATTTTTCTCTCTCATAAATTTGTCAGTAAATATTTGAACCCTTTTTTGTTCGCTGTCAAATAGTGATCAATTTGATCTTCCAGGATGATTATGTTTCAGTTTAATTAAAAACAAATTTATTACAGAATTCAATTTTTTTTTTTTATAATAATTGGTAATTTAAGCTAGATGAAACTAGTTTCAATCACCCACATGTGATCTGGTAATTGTAAGTCAATTAATCCAGTTCTTATAAAACAAAGTTTTGGTAACAATTTGAAAATGTAACTTCAATGCTGAACTTGTTTTACAATATTTTTGATGTGCTTAAATGTTTTAATGCTGTTCAAATGCGACATATGATCCAAATACTTTCATTACACTAACAACTACACATGTCCTCTTGTACAGCGACATAGGACACCGCCTTTTCTCAGCGAGCACTCCGTCCATCCATTCAACTTAGATTGCATTAAGTCTAGTACAAACATAACACTTACACTTCTTGCATATATAGATTTATCCACACACTTCTCTGACAGACAAGATACAATTTCTCTGGCACAAACGTATATAAATCTCATAACACTGTTAGATTTGTGAATGTAGTGACGTGATCTGAGGCTTAATACACATATTTGTTCTGCATATTATTTCAGATCTTAATGAATCAAATATGTTCAATGTAGCCAGATAAACAAATCAACACAAGTATTGCCAAATCCCTTCTGTTAACACCAAAATTCTGTCTTATAAACAAAGCTGAAGACTCGAGTCAAATTTACAAAGTAAAACAAAGGATAATCCACTTAGTACATCACATGATAGAATACTGGCTGTTCATTGGATAACACCAACACACCTGGAAGTGATAGTGCGAGAATCTGGCACTATATGATATCTATCATTATAGAGAACATTGGAGGTGTTTTTCATTTCTGAAGCAATTTCTAAAAAGGATTGTACCGAAACCATTACTGCCTACCGCTGAGAAGTTTATGTTGTTGAATGGTTAATTATTAAGCTGAATACTATCACAGAAAAATATTTTTAAAAATCATATGTTTTCCATGAAGTGTGGTCACACAACTTTGCACTATGTAATTTATTTTCTCTTTTTTTTCTACATCCAAAAAAAGCAAAGTTCATTTTCTATCAGAAGTTAAGACTTGTGCTTACACACCTGTACTAACAGAATCTGAGGTTTACACTCGTGTCTTGTAAACAATGTTTTTTAAATTGTTACTATACCTGCAATTTTTTTTTTTTTGAAATGTTTGTTGATAAAGCCAGTTCTGTTGGGCACATCCAAATCTGCCAACAAGTTTTTGGTATTTTTAGACAGACAAAAATCTTTGTAAATCTGACTCCAGACTTAAATCAAGGGCACATCCAAATCTGCCAACAAGTTTTTGGTATTTTTAGACAGACAAAAATCTTTGTAAATCTGACTCCAGACTTAAATCAAGTCTTGCTTGAATGAACCTGTGGACAAGGATAAATTGTTAAACATGCTTCATTTCTACATTGTATATATTACAGAACTCAGATATTTCATAATAATACAATAGTTTGTTTGTAAAATGAGAATGAGTCTGTGCGACACAATTCAAATTCAGGCAAGAATACTGTACTGAATAACAAAAAGTATACAGGTCAAACTAGTCCCGTATGTATCACTCAATAAGTTAAAACTATAATGTATCTATAGTGTATACCCAGTACCTCTGTAGTGTACACATATCACGGTCACTCCCGTGTCTACCACGGTGTCGGAGTTCTTAAGTACAAGGCTGCTAAACAGAATCCTACGTATAACTAACTGTAAACGCATCAGTTCTACATTTATTGGTATACCTATAGTTTTATATTCTATGGAAATATTTTACACAGGCTGTGATGTAAGTATCGGTGTTTCCATTATTTTATGAAAGTTTTTAACAAATATTGATTACAGAACTTTTACTTCATACATATGTATATACATGGCATAGATTGGTGTTCTCTTTTTATAATTATCGATCTTATAGTTATCAGAAATAACAAGGAAAAAGTAAAGTGCACAAAACACAGAATCCGCTCATCAATGCTGTATATATATAATGTTAGTGTTATTTATCTTGGTAGTCTGTAAAATGTGATCAACTCTCTTTTATTTAAGTTTTAAAGCACCAAATGAAGACATTTAAGTATACAATCTATGGTCAGCGTTGAGTGCTAATATTGATTTTTTTTAAGCTTACCTATTTTTCTTATTTCTGTTACTCAGTTGACAATGTTATCAGGTCAAATTGAGTGTTAGAGGAGATGGACCATATATATTTTCATTCCATAGCTAGCCTTATCTACTGTGATCAATATTTCAATATATGACTTATAATCTGCAGGGGAGGGTTAGGCTCCCGATTGTATCAGCAGACAAGTACATATCTAGCCTGGTTTATGTTCCTAGACATTAAGGACTTTCACTGGGTCTACATCCAGATATCAAATCGGAGTAAGGCCAAATAAAATATATGTTTAATTCAGGTTAATCTCCCTACCTTCACCCCTAGTTAACTTCAGTAGACTCTACCATAGCTTTATCTGGATGAGTCCATTGTGGTCCACAGTGGTGAAAGGGTTAAATAGTACTGCCAACCCTCTACCAGGTTTTCAGGCATGTACTGTTTCATATTTAGAGCACTAGCCCCCATGCAGATTTTAAAGACTTATTTTAAAAGTATTTTCACAGTAAATATTGAGCGATGACATAAAATAGACCAGCTCCGGGGGCGTTAAGCTAGTGGAATAGCATACCCCTGATTTTTCTGTAGTCAAGCACTGGTAATATCTGGATCTGCAGTGCTCTACAGTTCCTATTTTGTCTTTATACAGTATAAGTTAATTCTGTTTGGCCTTAAATTATTCTTCATGGTCCATACTATCAAACATTGATCACCAATCCTGATCATTTTAATGTGAACAATTATTTTCAATCAACAACAGAGCGTAGAAAAAAAATCTAGGTCAATTTTGTCTCCAAATATTTCAAAGTGAACTTAATTAATTATATTTGTAACAAACAGAATTCCATACTTGTAAATTTTGCAATGTTATAAGGAAATGTGTTTCATAAAGGACTACGATCACTTGTGTTTGAAGGTCCACTGTGGATATATAGAGGCTACCTCTAGCATTTACTGACTTAACTCATTCACCCCTGAAGACACATTTGAACTAATCCGTTTCAAATGTTGGAATAGTCCATTATGAAATTTCAGGGGTTAATGTCTTAATAACCAAATATAATCATATGTTATAAGCTTAGTTTTAGAAGAAATACTAGCATCCCATTTATCAAATGTATCACAGCGGGGGACGTGACGACAAAGTGGTCAGAAGATAGTCTTTGTGCTAAGTACTTTGGAGACAATGTTTTACACTAAACATTTTACTTTTTATTGCTTAAATTAAAACTTAACACAAACTCGATGTTTGCCAAAACCCGACACAATAGTACTGTTTTTCATCTGTGTCAGATCTAGTTTACACTCTGCAAACCTAACCTACAGTAACTGAAACTTAACATATTAATCATGTACTGTAAGGCAAATAAAACACGTTTATTTCCTGTTACATGTCTGAAAAAATTTAGGGTAATAAATTAAATACTTCCATTTTTATAAGAATTACCGTATATAGGAGAGTAAACTCGACAGTGCTTGCTGGAAATCAGCCTTAAAAGTAAAGGGTATAGGTATGGTAACTGGAAACAAAAAAAACACCAAATTGGTCTAACTGTTCTTGTTTTCCCAGGTTCTGTTTTTTTCGTTATAACAAAAAATACTTAAAAAGACCAAACCATTATGGTATCTTTATAATGAAGTACTGAAGTAAAAAATATGTCTTAACTTTTTTTATTAAATTTAATGTATGCAGCAATTGATTGTCCAAAATTTCTTGAAATTTTCCCGAGGACAATTTGAATTTTTTAAGATACATCGAAATACAATTATAATTCTTGTATAATGCGTATTTGTTTACCAACAAGACTGGGTACGTACACAATATGAGGGAATGGAGGAAATAAATAAAATGAGTCGTACCATGGAGAGATATAGATGTTACCGGTCAAAGTCTCATCGCTACCAGTTTGTAAGGTAGCCACACTAGTAAACCAGAGCTCTGTTGTAGCAACACTAATTAGCTTGATATGCTTGATAGTCAAATATTTAATATCTATTTTTTTCAACCCGACTACGAAATGTTCTAATAATTTGATTTGTCAAGGAAGTAATTTTGACTGCCAGAATGCGCTCTTTTTCTTTCAAGTTTAAATAAATTGCAAAACATTTTCATCATAATTTCCAATTTTATCTTCGTGGATCAAATCTGAAGCAAAGTTAGTTTGATACAACAGAGACCTGTGCAAGACAAATATGATATGGAACATATGGAAGCTCGTAGAATTAATTGTCAATAACAACAACAAAATCTAAATGAAATGGCACCACTGCATAGACTTCAGAGTAAAAGTGTCAATGTTGCCACCTCTCCACTGTAGCACTATTTGTTTCAGGTTTCAAGTCCGACATAATCCTCGTCACCCTTGACCTTTGCACCGTGTCAAAGGTCAGAATGTCAATGCTGACAATATCAGTGAGTTTGGCTACATCATACAAATGAGTTAAACAGGTCACCAGTGTAAATATATATATTACACTTTATCACTGGCCTTGTCAATAACGCGTTATACACGTTTTGTATAGTTATATACAGTTTTACGGTAAATCTGCTGATTGTTTATCTCAGTGTCAAGTCGTCACACGATGGAGGTTGAACTGCTCTGTGGGAGTCACCAGCATAACCCGATGTTAAACAAGTATTTGAATTAAGTCTGTGCAATACCTTCAAATCAGAGTTTCTCAAACAAGGCTGTAAAGTTTGAAGTGTACCACGAAGTACTTGTAATTCATCTCGGTCAACAGAACAGAACCACTAGCATCTTTCTCTGGGTAAAATGTACTCTGGGTATTAATAGTTAAGATCGGAGATTCAATATCACAGTCAATAACCATTGTGACTTTTGGTCGTAAGACAATTTTGTCTCAATCGTACATAGATTTCCCAGAACCATTGCACAAACAATTAGGTCGAATTCCTAATCCACATGATGACTTTAAATGAGATTCACTCCATCACTACAGTGTATTTCCAAACTGGCTGACAAACACGACATCACATGATGAAGTTGAGTGTTCTCTGAAGAGAATTGAAGGTCATGTAACGGTCATCCCGCGCAGTAATCCATCATGACATGAATTCCTCATGAAATAATGATTATCATCGATGAATATTCAAGACTATTTCACAAGCAGACTAGAACTACATCCTGCTATGGATGTATATATTTTGACAGGCGACGGTTCTATGGGAGCATCTGGACCAAATCCTGATCAAGTGGATGACTATTCCACATGATCACCACATTTCTAAATCCACTGAATCCACAAAATCTACACGCAGCAAGAAGTCAATGTAAGATGCTGGGAGTGGAGAAAATGTAGAACTTGTAGAGCGATGTTCATTAGAAAATGGGCCACAATGGCATCGTCCCCGAGAGTATATAGCATGACCTGACACCATGGAGAAAACACTTCATTTTAATACGACACGTTCCGCATAAATGGTACAAATCGGGTCCACCGGAATCCATGTGATCGGATACAACATTTTCCCCACGAGTCCGAGCGACGTCCGCCCTAGCCCCTCCTTCCCTGTAACCATTATCACAGATATCAGACAAAACTTCTTCCTGTTATTGCACTTAGTCCATGCTGACCAATGGTCAGCTGCCCCTGGACACTGGTCAGTTGTCCAGGCTTGAACCTTGGCTGGCCAGCGTATGGCAGTTCCAGAGAAACCATCCGCCTATCATACTGCGGACACTTGCTCCTCTTCAGCATCTACAAGAACAAAAGAACATGTCAGACAAGTTCAAAGGTCAGGGTTAGGTAATTCACATTACAGGACGATCTTGTTGTATCGTATTTATCCGGCTGTAAGGCTGTGTCTGTTAATAAGCCCAGGTTTATATATTGAAGTTCAGTAAAACCGCCAAAACACGCCCTATAGTAATTTAAGCCCTGTCCCACTTTGAGTTAAAGATTATGTGTCAGCTTACTGGGCTAACTGCAGGATAAATATGATAGTAAACAAATTTTATGTTAAACCCATTTATACAACTTCTACATGCTCTGGACCTGCCTGTATGGATTCATTCGGACTACAGGTCGTAAACAAGGAAATTTACCCATAGCGATGGATTTCATCATTTGTTTGGTTATGTTGAATGTCTCGATGTAGCCAAGATTGAAGGCAGGAGATGTTGTATGACGTTGGAATTCTGTAAATTCTGGTGTAAGAAGACATTGAATAGTATAAAACTTTTCACCTATTCTGAACATATAGGATTCCAGATTTACTTCTACTTCACATTGTTTGACAAGGTGAAGATCTGGTGCATGAACGCAAATTTTTATTTTTTTCTAATTGACACTGTTCTACCAGGCTGGTTATCTCTAATTGACACTGTTCTACCAGGCTGGTTATCTCTAAATGACATGGGTTACATCTCTGCAGATTACCTCTGTTGGACTTGGATGCAGGTTTATATACACAGGTTGCCAGATTAAGAAGGGTTCAGTTTGAACTGTACCACTGAGTACATGTAATAACTTAAAATTTCTCATCAGCAAGGTATCATATGTGCAACACAACTAATTTCACAAACACAAACACTCTGGGTATTTCCCCTACGGTTTCACAAACACAAACACACTGGGTATTTCCCCTACGGTTTCACAAACACAAACACTCTGGGTATTTCCCCTACATTTCTCACACACAAACACTCTGGGGATTTCCCCTACATTTCTCAAACACAAACACTCTGGGGATTTCCCCTACATTTCTCACACACAAACACTCTGGGTATTTCCCCTACATTTCTCTCAAGTCACGCTCTGTAACTGACCTGGTTTAGTCTATAAAGGTGAAACATTTACGTACAAATGCACTCAAACTCTGTTTAAGAATAGCGTGTTTATGGGACAGCTTTTATGTCAATACAGCTGGTGTCCCATTTCACTGATAAACAGGTAATTTCTGGTTAATGGATATCCTCCGAACCCTCTCTTTGTCATGACTTCACTGTACCGACACTACCATGCCTCACCATACATACAGTGTGCACTTCAGGTTTTTCCTCTTATATTGTACTTATGCAATTTTTCTTTATAATATACAATATTTTTAAACACCCTTTTTTTTTTTGGCACCATTAAAAACATAATAATAAATTTCTATTTTTTTTTATTTTTTATTTTTATCTTCTACCAGTTTTGTGTATCAAGATCCACATGACCCATGTACAACACCTAAGTGGGATAAGTCTTTCTCTTACCCTGGACCTGTGTATCCACATTTTTCTCCGTGCAACATATTCTTGTTTAACCCTCGGGTTGAGACAAGGAGATTTCCCAGTCAAAACAAATGTACGACGTCATGTCAACAATACATCAACGTATGTCACGCCAACAATACATCAACGTATGTCACGCCAACAATACATCAACGTATGTCACGCCAACAATACATCAACGTATGTCAAGCCAACAATACATCAACGTATGTCACGACAACAATACAACTACCAGGTCAACTGGGTAGGAGATGAAGAATCGTTCACCACTTGAGGTGGGGAATTTCAACTCTAAGGAATACATTCTCAAGTAGCCAAACACTCAGCAAGCCGCCTATTTGGTAAATTAAAAATCTTCACCCTCGGGTTGAGATTCCTGTTTCTGTTTCAAAAGTCATAAAATAACGTTTCATTTATAGTGTGTTTAAATTAACCTGCAAATACTCATAACATTTCAATAATATTAGTTTGGTAAATTTACAACTTTGTAAACATATTTTTATAATACTGTTTTTGCACATGCAAAGAACATTCTGTGTCAAAAGTTTGCTTGAGTCACTTTGTTTTTTTTATTAACTCATTCACCCCTGAAATTTCATAATGAACTATATTCCAACTGTTGAATTGGAAGAGTTCAAATGTGTCTTCAGGGGTGAATGAGTTTAAAACAAACTTAGCATTTTTATTTTTTTTTATTTTTTAAATCAACAACTATTTCTTGGAGAAATCAACAATATCTCAATTCTGAAAATTAATATTTGTTAGAAAACAACAAATTTACATCACTAACAACCATATATTACACACATGCATCTGACCGTTAGGCCTTGTACGGCTTCAAATGGTTCACCATTAACAACATTTATACTATAACTCATAGGAAATATTCACGATTACAACTATGTCAGCTGAACCGCAAACTTTTGAGAAAGTTTTATTAAGGGCGATAATAAAAACAGCTGCCCTAGCACGATCTAGTGAAAGTAGGAGAAATAGGTTCACAAACTCTTCATGCCAAAATGCATAGATGGAATGCCAGGCGGTTAGGAACTATAGAGATATCTGTAACTTAATATATCAGAAGGAAAATCAAGAGGAGGATACTATCTTAAATAGAACAGAAAGTAAATACGGAATGTTGTCAGAATTTGTTAAAGTATGCAAAAGTAAAAAATTGAATTTTCATGATTTTTTTTGAATTCAAGACAATTTTTCGTTAAATATTTGAAAGAAAAAAAAATGAATTGCATTTCATATACAATTAAGTTAAATGCAAATACTTTTAAAATTCGCTGATGTCACGACTAATCAAAATAATTCATAAGCGCATACATTAAAATCAATTGAAATCAATTAAAATTGTACAAATGTAACCATTCAGAGTAATTTTTCCTTGGGGTAATAAAGGGTGCAATAAAACTACATATAATAAATGTAATTAAAATAAGTTCAGCATTAACATAACAATACCAGTTCACCAAGTAAAATGTCACCAAAGTTTGTTTACAATACAAAGCTAGGCAGTCAACATCACCCGTCGGTTAGAGTTAGTTGATGGGGGGGGGGGTTGGGGGGGAATCGGGTAGGAAGGAAACAGCATGCTGTTTGTGGAATGGTTAGAATTGTAATTATCGGTGCTGCAAATAAATTCATCTGTTATATTTTCTTTCATTCAATCATAGTCAAACACTCACAAATGAATCCTTATTACCTTACAATCTTATTACCTTCCAATCTTATTACATTACAATCTTATTACCTTACAATCTTATTACTTTCCAATCTAACTATATCTATACTCTACCCAGTTTCTTTTCATACTGACCATTCAGCATTTCATCAAAATGACCAATTATTATTTCCTTTCCATTGGAGTCTCTGAGACATAAATAAAAGTCAATGACAAAGGTCTGATAACTGATATTAATTTTACAAAAATTAAAAAATAATAACCTTCTCTGAAGTTGTCCCCCCCTTGAACTGACTGCGTTATTTTATTAAATCTTCAAAATATAAACTTGTATTTAATATAAAAAAGGATTCAATGAAAGAAGACGTAAAAGCCAAATTACATGTGATGCAAATTTCGAGGTATTAAATTGACACAAGTCATGTTTGTCTGAAAACTCTGGAAAAATTGTCAGTTGTCAAAATGCCAAATGGTTTTTATTTAACATACATTTCCACTCAAACGGGTGCAGCAAGAATATCTTGGATCAAACTAAACAATTCTCGTGTGGTAGAGCGTTTTAAAAACTTCAGTGCAATTTGTGTATTTCTTTCAAGATTTTAAAACAATTCTCTTCAATATGACTGAAAGCAGTGTTGATTTATATACAATTTCATTATATAAGCAGTATAAAGTTTTTTCCTAAAATGAAATATTGAAATCATTTTTCTAAATATTCATTCATCTTTGGACGGTGAAGTTGATCGATCTTGAAGCTTCTTTTTTGTAGAAAACATTTCTTATTCCTGTAATCTGATAGACATCTATTAACGGCTGGCAATCTGGCCAGTTCTGGCTACAGTTTGTAAGGAATTGTCTGAATCATGCTAAAATTGTCAATTTTCATATAAAGTTACAGGGTTTAGATTTGTTCAGGTTCACAGGATGGTAATTCTGTTTTCATTCCCACACAAGATTGTAACTTGACGAACCTTCAAGATTTACGAGTCTGGTGAAGCACCTGGCCATGCTGATTGGCTAAAAGCTGTAAACAAGCGAATCACATGACGCGGTTTATGATTGTCACCATATCAAGTTCATTTAAATTTAGTACAAATTATTTGTGACATCACAAACAGATACTGAACCAGCAGGTGACATTCATTAACACATAAAACAAACGATATATATGAATATAGCCACAAGGCAAATTTCCACGAAAGCAGTTACATTCAAAATGTAACTCGCACAGCAAGGGACACAACTGGAAAATGATCGAAATCAGACGTGTTGAATACAAAACAAGATGGACACTCTAGACAAACAAGACATTTTAACACAAAAACGTGTCGTAACAGACAGACAGCCTACCACACACAGAAACCCTAGCGGGAGGTCGTATCACCTACCATCCATTGATGATCTGTAATGCCTATCGCCCGACGAGATCTCGCCGTTCTGGTGGTAGCCCACTACACCATCATGCGAGCGCGTTCGTTCCAGCTGCCACGTGTGCTTCTGGCGGGCATACTGTGCCATTTGCGTAGCAGAGCGGTAGTCGGGGAGAGGTGGTCGTCTTACGTTTGTGTACGTTTGGTGAATATATTGGCTATACGCTGTCGGAGGAAAGGCAGAAGGAGACACCTCGTATATAGTACAGCTTTTCAAGATAAGTCATATGCAACAGTCAAAGCTCAATAGACAGAGTAAGAAATCAACAGAATGGTCACACAGCTGGAGGTCTAACATTTAAACATACAAATTAGTTATTCTCAATTCTACTGGTGACTTTTGATGTTTGTATTGAAGCAAATCAAACAGAATCATCTCTTTCTATTTCTCTCAAAATAAAAATCGAATTCAAATTACACACAAGTTAAACCTAAAGAATCATAAAATAATCTTAATGTACTATTCATCAAAACTATAACGGATTAAATTCAAATTCTATATTCAAACAGAAATTGGCATCCAAGCATTTCTCCTTCAATTTCTAGAACTTTTTCCACAATAAATTTTCTTAGATAAGAAAAGCTGAAAACCTTGTGTATGAAAATGATTGCCATTATCATTCATTGGTAAATTGACAAACTAATTTAACTTGAAGCTTAAAAAAACGATGCTGACAGAAAATAACGAACTATTCGTAAGATTTTCAAATTGAAGTAAATAACATGGAAAATGACAAAAAGATATTTTTGGAGCCAAGTTCATGATTTGAAGACATGTTCATCGACATGGCGTCACTGATACCATCTACCGCATACAATATGATATGTTCAAGCAGATACGACAAGCCCTGATTAAAATGTGATTTTCAATTTATACTCTTTTCCAACATACACTGGAAACTGATTGGTTTAATTAGTTCTCTACATATGATTATATATAATTTGTGTTACAGTGATTCTGCAGTGCCCTCCCAGCCCCCAATTCATGATGCAGTGATGATATTGAAATCCATATTGATCTCTAAGAAAAGTGTTGTGATATATATATATAGATATATAAGTGATTGATATACATAGATGTGCTTGCCTTATCACAATGGATGTGCCCTGGGCCTGTGTACTATACCTGTATCAAGTTGTCAGAACTGATTTACAATTTTAGGTTAGAAATATATAGAACCTATTGGCAGCAGTATAAGAACAGAGACCACAGTCGTGTTCCTTTTAACCGTCACCAAAGTTGATTGACTGGACGCAAAGACATAGATTTTTTTTCATTTTGTTAAACAAAACAAAACTATTGCGAATTAAGACACATTTTGCAGGCATCTGCAAAAGTGGGTCATTTATTTATATATTTTATCAATCTAAATCATAAATTTTCTGGAGATTAATACTTGAATTATGGAGAAAAAAAATATTGACACACTTAAATGAAAAACAAATACTTGGACAATCAAGAAAATTTGTTGTTAATATTTTTCTCTTTTCCAAAAACCAAATTGGCCTTGATCACGATACGATACAAAGTGTAGCCTAGAACACTCGTGTGACAACGTTTGTTACATGATATCCAATTAGTTTAATTCAGACGGAACTTCTAACCTGAATTCTCAACCAAATGCAAAATTAACACTCAGGAATCTTCTTTCAAGTTTGAAAATTTAAAAAAATATCTGAATTTCTTAATCAATTTCAAAATCAGAATTAAATCAAATATGGGGTTCCATTATTTCACAGCATACTAAAATATAAGGACAAAACAATCTCCCACTTACCATAATTATTATATTTATTTTCCAATAAGAGTTAATAAGGTTGAACATACTTGTTTAGCACATCAGAGAATAATTCAAACCATGACAAGTATTATAGTAAATCACTCGGTTCCATCTCAAAGGGAGATAAGGAAAGGGGAGGTAACAAACAAAGTTATTTCCCTTGTAAAAACCTATACCAGGATGAAGGATTCCTGTACCTACTACCTTTAACTGTAATTACGCATAAGACACTAGCTATTAGGATTATAGTGTTGCCGAAGCATTTCCTTACGTAAAAAAAAAATACCTTGCGGGACTTTTTCATGAAAATATAATAAATATGAAATAATCGAAATATAATCAATAACAGTGTTCCGATTGTAAAAATTTAGCGGGGCTATAGACACAGTTTCAAACAAGGGATTTTAGATTGTTATAATATGGCTTTAAACAAATGAACTATCAAGTCAATGGAGATGTCCTGTCCCTAATGTTCTACAGTTATATCAAACGGAAGTTAAGGGGAGGTTAATCGATAAACAAACTAGAAAATGTCTGTAAGACACAAATATGCCCGCTCATGGATGGGATGGGATGGGATGGGATGGGACGGGGCGGGACAGGACGGAGAGGGCAACAATATATGCCCCCCCCCCCCCCCCCCCCCCATTTTATGGTGGGGCATAAAAACCACAGTGTAGTGGGACAGGGATCCTTAAGGTAAAAACCACAGTGTAGTGGGACAGGGATCCTTAAGGTAAAAAACACAGTGTAGTGGGACAGGGATCCTTAAAGAAATATATCTGGTAACAACTGACATTGTGTAATGTGGAATTCTATGTAAGTTCAAGTTTCACACACAAGACTAATAAAAAGAGAAAAAGAGGACTATGTTAACATCACAATCTTATTTACGGACAATCTCGGACACTCTCTATTTCAAGCTCAACTATCACACACTACATAATATGTACAGGACCAAGTTTTTAAAAATCTACAACAAAATCTGTAAATTATGCAAGCACACTTTTAAATCTCCAAATCTTTAAATTGTAATGCCCAATACAACATTCAAAAGTCACCAACATAAAGAACTGCATCAAAGACTTTGTTACCTGATTTTCTTACCGATATAATTATTTTGTATTTCCACCTTTCAATCATGTGCTGACTGACTGTCATTCGGTTAGAGAATAGAATTCGGCCCTTAGACAAGGCTGCCCAGGCCATGCTTGTGATCTACAGTACATAGCAATCACACAACCTGCTAGACAATCTTTATAACGAAGTCATTCAAATTCATTCAAGTGTTTTAACAAGGTGCAACGTAATAAATCGGTGAGTTTAGTTAGTACATGCAGATAGATCGCCCTTTACCAGAGAAGCATAGCCATGCAATTTTACTACAGTGTAGCACACACCAGGTGTTTTGCAGCGAGTGACATCATGCAATATGTATTTCATGGGATCAGAGACTCACTGTTTCATGTAAATTCTGCATTCTAATCAAACCTGTTAAATTTTCCCCTTTGTTGATGATTGTCACCCATCTTTAAAATTTTGTTCTCCGTTAGATTTCAAATTAACGAAACGGAATTCCAAAACAGTGGTAGTTGTTTCATGGCCATGAAATATAAACCACATTTATTGCTGTTAGTAGTTCTCCTTTGATCTTTTCCAACACATTTTTCAATTCTACCAGGTGATTGAAAATGTGGGCGAGTCGACCTGGAGTTTATAACACACAAACACAACTGCTAGCTCACACATCTAGACTACAGGTGATATGAAGTTTAACACACATACTGGTACGGAAATGTTATCTATCATATCTCCCATGACGGTTATTTTATCCCGATTTGTCAGTAATATATTTGTAGATCTAGTTATGACAAACAGAAAGTTTTCTACCCTTTCCTGCATTTGACAAATCCCCTGACCACAGTTCCTTTTTAAAGAAACACTGACCTACTTTATATAGGCATAAATGATAGCACTCAACTATGATTTCTTTTCCTTTAAGAACCAAGAAAGTAGCTCTGACCAAGGTTTTACCTCCCTTTATATTATCTCCCCTTACTCACCAGGATATAGATATATCCTATAACTAGTCAGGGTGGCCTCCCTTAACAAAAACAAAAGCATCATTTTCTTTCATGCACAGATACATATATTTGTAGCACCTGATATAGTTACCTCCCCTTATACAGAATGTGTAGTTAGCACTTGTGTGAGTGTGCAGTGTGAGGCTATATGTCCTGGGTATGTGAATACTGTATACCCGATACCACATGCTCGCTGTGGACCAATCAATGAGCCACGCGCTGCGGCATCCTCACCTGGAGATTTTTGCATGACAACATCATACGTCGGCAGAGGGGGTCTGACCCCCGGAGGCTGAGGGATTGGAGGCGTAGGATGGTGGTGATGGTGAGGGGCGGCCAGGGGTGTTGGCCCTGAAACAGATTACAACAGCTGCCATCTACTACAAACAAGTACAAACAAACAGCAGTGACACCCACACCAGTCTGTTGCCTGGTCCAAACAAATAAATTGGGGAAAACTTTCTAAATGGCAATGAATGCACAGAAATAAACAAAATGTTTGTCTCTGTGACATAGAAATGGCTGCCAGTGGAACAAGCAGAAGACATCATTTTGACGGCACTGTTGTACAATAATAACATCACTTACATGACAGTCAAGCATCAGGAAACAGACAGAATGACAAGACAGTATAATTACTAGGACTACAGAGAAAGATCTAATAGGAACGAGCATTTCATGTCGTCCTCTTGACTGGCATGTAAGGATTACAGGTAGAGTATAATAGGGAGGGCAAAATAAAGACTACACGCCTACCCAGTAGAAAGTAAGGACATGTAACTAGGATTTCTCAAAACAGCTCAGATTTAAGGAACTTTTTGCCATTGCTATGTGTATAACTTTATCTCTGATATTTCTCCACCTAATAATTAGGAAAATTGCTAGAAATTACAAAGGCAAATAAAATAGTTTCCTATTTTTTTTTTTAATAATAATGAATTCAAATGTTTTTTATACTGAAGAAGGATTATCATCATTCCTATTTCACATTTTCAATCTGAAGTGATCTGTACATTAAATATATTATATGGCAAAAACTACTGAAGTTTGTTTTAAGAATCCAAGGCCAGAAAAGGTAGGTGATCTAATGTACATACTGGATAAAGAAAATACCAAATTTGTTTGTCCCTCTCTATGTTACTCAGAAATATTCTAGACTTTCCTTAAACCATGAACCATAGGTTCGTAGCTGTGTTCCATACAGGAACTAAGCTGTTAGAGTAGCATTTGATATATAAGTTTACCATAAAATACAACTTATCATGGTGCCCAAATCTCTAAGGTCCAGTAGAGGAGTTAATTTTTTTCCAATCATAAGACTTATAAAATAAAAAATCCAGGGGACACCAAACCCAGGAGACAACAAACTCAGGAGACTGCAAACCCAGGAGACAACAAACTTAGGGGACAACAAACTTAAGGGACAACAAACTTAGGGGATGCCAAACCCAAGAGACAACAAACCCAGGAGAAAACAAACCCAGGAGACAACAAACCCAGGGGACACCAAACCCAGGAGACAACAAACTTAGGGGACAACAAAACCAGGAGACTACAAACCTAGGGGACACAAAATCACCATGATCTTTCAAAAGAAACTGAGTTAAAATACTGTTCTACAACAAAGTGTTTCCTGTCACCACACATGGCTCCCTTCATGATGTCTTCTGTCACCACACAAGGCAACTGTCAATATGTCTCCTGTCACCACACAAGGCAACTGTCATGATGTCTCCTGTCACCACATGTGACACCAGTCAAGACGTCTCCTGTCACCACACAAAGCAACTGTCAAGATGTCTCCTGTCACCACATGTGACACCAGTTAAGATGTCTCCTGTCACCACATGTGACACCAGTCAAGATGTCTCCTGTCACCACATGTGACACCAGTCAAGATGTCTCCTGTCACCACATGTGACACCAGTCAAGATGTCTCCTGTCACCACATGTGACACCAGTCAAGATGTCTCCTGTCACCACATGTGACACCAGTCAAGATGTCTCCTGTCACCACATGTGACACCAGTCAAGATGTCTCCTGTCACCACATGTGACACCAGTCAAGATGTCTCCTGTCACCACATGTGACACCAGTCAAGATGTCTCCTGTCACCACATGTGACACCAGTCAAGATGTCTCCTGTCACCACATGTGACACCAGTCAAGATGTCTCCTGTCACCACATGTGACACCAGTCAAGATGTCTCCTGTCACCACATGTGACACCAGTCAAGATGTCTCCTGTCACCACATGTGACACCAGTCAAGATGTCTCCTGTCACCACATGTGACACCAGTCAAGATGTCTCCTGTCACCACATGTGACACCAGTCAAGATGTCTCCTGTCACCACATGTGACACCAGTCAAGATGTCTCCTGTCACCACATGTGACACCAGTCAAGATGTCTCCTGTCACCACATGTGACACCAGTCAAGATGTCTCCTGTCACCACATGTGACACCAGTCAAGATGTCTCCTGTCACCACATGTGACACCAGTCAAGATGTCTCCTGTCACCACATGTGACACCAGTCAAGATGTCTCCTGTCACCACATGTGACACCAGTCAAGATGTCTCCTGTCACCACATGTGACACCAGTCAAGATGTCTCCTGTCACCACATGTGACACCAGTCAAGATGTCTCCTGTCACCACATGTGACACCAGTCAAGATGTCTCCTGTCACCACATGTGACACCAGTCAAGATGTCTCCTGTCACCACATGTGACACCAGTCAAGATGTCTCCTGTCACCACATGTGACACCAGTCAAGATGTCTCCTGTCACCACATGTGACACCAGTCAAGATGTCTCCTGTCACCACATGTGACACCAGTCAAGATGTCTCCTGTCACCACATGTGACACCAGTCAAGATGTCTCCTGTCACCACATGTGACACCAGTCAAGATGTCTCCTGTCACCACATGTGACACCAGTCAAGATGTCTCCTGTCACCACATGTGACACCAGTCAAGATGTCTCCTGTCACCACATGTGACACCAGTCAAGATGTCTCCTGTCACCACATGTGACACCAGTCAAGATGTCTCCTGTCACCACATGTGACACCAGTCAAGATGTCTCCTGTCACCACATGTGACACCAGTCAAGATGTCTCCTGTCACCACACAAGGCAACTGTCATGATGTCTCCTGTCACCACATGTGACACCAGTCAAGATGTCTCCTGTCACCACACAAGGCAACTGTCATGATGTCTCCTGTCACCACATGTGACACCAGTCAAGATGTCTCCTGTCACCACACAAGGCAACTGTCATGATGTCTCTAAGTCACCAAACATGGCACCCGTCAAGATGTCTCCTGTCACCACAGAAGGCAATTGTCAAGATGTCTCCTGTCACCACATGTGACACCAGTCAAGATGTCTCCTGTCACCACACAAGGCAACTGTCAAGATGTCTCCTGTCACCACATGTGACACCAATCAAGATGTCTCCTGTCACCACACAAGGCAACTGTCAAGATGTCTCCTGTCACCACATGTGACACCCGTCAAGATGTCTCCATCTAATATGGTACAGAATGTAGGTCACCAACAGCAGCATGATAATAAAGAACAATATTTCATGGTAGAAATGGTTATTTAAGTCATAATGATATCTATGAAAATACATTCAAAATAGGATGAAGTCTGTCTAGCAGAAATCCTGGCTTTCACAAGCAAGTCAGTACAAAAAATTGATAGGGAGAATCTACGAAGTCATTAACAGGAAGTAGATTGTGTTGTCTGAACCTAGCCTCAAACTCAAGTCACCTGGAAATCTGGTGATGTAATCCTACCTGGTTTTAAAGTCTGGGTCGATAAGAATGCCCGGGTTACTAATATGGATATAACCTGGAAGGAATGGACACTAATTAATATAAACTTGATAAATATATGGGCCAGTTGTAGATAACTTCGACAGACTAATCCTGCTGTTCAATACTTTAAGTGTCAGGTTCTTGTGTGAGCCGGGGCCAATATTTAAATCCAATTCACCTGAAAAACAGAACTTCCTTATCAATGTGGTCAAGTAAAAGAGTCAAAATGTCAGTCGTCTGTACCACATAATATATCAAAGGTAAATTCCCAGACAGGGAGAGAGACATTTCTCTTCTCTTAACACATCCCTCAAAACACAACCACAAACATAAGCAAAACCTTAAGACAAAAACCACAAACTTAGATTAAAGATTTAGGCAAACTGACAGGTCAGTAAGGGCCCTGCTATATATGTGCCTGATACCTCCCCCACTCTATTTTTAGTAACGGTAACCTTGACCCTGACCTTAAAAACTTGTTTAACCCCTATTTCACATCTTGATATCCAAGTGTATAACCATGTCAAATTTCTAAAAGATCAGATCAGACCAATGAATTTCGAGATTAAGCCCCCTCCCCCCCACACATCTATTTTTAGTTTAACAGTGACTTTACAAAATGTCAGTGTATAACCAAGTCACATTTCAGAAAGATTAATCCTATGGTTTCCAAGATAATCTCCTAAAAAAGAAAGTGTGGATAGACAGACAAACAGACAGACAGACACTTCGATTACAAAAGGGCACCCCATCTCCAATGTGTGGCCCTTGTAACATTTGACATCAGTAAAACCATTAAGACCATTAAAGCTGACCACTACAGAGTAACCCCTGACTTGTGAAATACCAAGGTGGTCACACTGTGGACTCTGACATGGCTCTAAAAGCAGCAGCATTGTGACAGCCAAACGCTAACAAAGCAGGAAAATGGTGAAAGCTAGGTTACGGGTCTAAACATAATCAGATAGGCCTTTTCTGTAGTTATCCCTTACCACTCTTAGGATACTGTCAATGGGGATATTTCTGTCTGGAGTTATCCCATACCACTCTTAAGATACTGTCAATGGGGATAATTCTGTCTGGAGTTATCCCGTACCACTCTTAGGATACTATCAATGGGGATATTTCTGTCTGGAGTTATCCCATACCACTCTTAGGATACTGTCAAGGGGGATATTTTTGTCTGGAGTTATCCCATACCACCCTTAGGATACTGTCAATGGGGATATTTCTGTCTGGAGTTATCCCATACCACTCTTAGGATACTGTCAATGGAGTTATTTCTGTCTGGAGTTATACCATACCACTCTTAGGATACTGTCAATGGGGATATTTCTGTCTGGAGTTATCCCATACCACTCTTAGGATACTGTCAATGGGAATATTTCTGTCTGGAGTTATCCCATACCACTTAGGATACTGTCAATGGGGATATTTCTGTCTGGAGTTATCCCATACCACTCTTAGGATACTGTCAATGGGGATATTTCTGTCTGGAGTTATCCCATACCACTCTTAGGATACTGTCAATGGGGATATTTCTGTCTGGAGTTATCCCATACCACTCTTAGGATACTGTCAATGGGGATATTTCTGTCTGGAGTTATCCCATACCACTCTTAGGATACTGTCAATGGGGATATTTCTGTCTGGAGTTATCCCATACCACTCTTAGGATACTGTCAATGGGGATATTTCTGTCTGGAGTTATCCCATACCACTCTTAGGATACTGTCAATGGGGATATTTCTGTCTGGAGTTATCCCATACCACTCTTAGGATACTGTCAATGGGGATATTTCTGTCTGGAGTTATCCCATACCACTCTTAGGATACTGTCAATGGGGATATTTCTGTCTGGAGTTATCCCATACCACTCTTAGGATACTGTCAATGGGGATATTTCTGTCTGGAGTTATCCCATACCACTCTTAGGATACTGTCAATGGGGATATTTCTGTCTGGAGTTATCCCATACCACTCTTAGGATACTGTCAATGGGGATATTTCTGTCTGGAGTTATCCCATACCACTCTTAGGATACTGTCAATGGGGATATTTCTGTCTGGAGTTATCCCATACCACTCTTAGGATACTGTCAATGGGGATATTTCTGTCTGGAGTTATCCCATACCACTCTTAGGATACTGTCAATGGGGATATTTCTGTCTGGAGTTATCCCATACCACTCTTAGGATACTGTCAATGGGGATATTTCTGTCTGGAGTTATCCCATACCACTCTTAGGATACTGTCAATGGGGATATTTCTGTCTGGAGTTATCCCATACCACTCTTAGGATACTGTCAATGGGGATATTTCTGTCTGGAGTTATCCCATACCACTCTTAGGATACTGTCAATGGGGATATTTCTGTCTGGAGTTATCCCATACCACTCTTAGGATACTGTCAATGGGGATATTTCTGTCTGGAGTTATCCCATACCACTCTTAGGATACTGTCAATGGGGATATTTCTGTCTGGAGTTATCCCATACCACTCTTAGGATACTGTCAATGGGGATATTTCTGTCTGGAGTTATCCCATACCACTCTTAGGATACTGTCAATGGGGATATTTCTGTCTGGAGTTATCCCATACCACTCTTAGGATACTGTCAATGGGGATATTTCTGTCTGGAGTTATCCCATACCACTCTTAGGATACTGTCAATGGGGATATTTCTGTCTGGAGTTATCCCATACCACTCTTAGGATACTGTCAATGGGGATATTTCTGTCTGGAGTTATCCCATACCACTCTTAGGATACTGTCAATGGGGATATTTCTGTCTGGAGTTATCCCATACCACTCTTAGGATACTGTCAATGGGGATATTTCTGTCTGGAGTTATCCCATACCACTCTTAGGATACTGTCAATGGGGATATTTCTGTCTGGAGTTATCCCATACCACTCTTAGGATACTGTCAATGGGGATATTTCTGTCTGGAGTTATCCCATACCACTCTTAGGATACTGTCAATGGGGATATTTCTGTCTGGAGTTATCCCATACCACTCTTAGGATACTGTCAATGGGGATATTTCTGTCTGGAGTTATCCCATACCACTCTTAGGATACTGTCAATGGGGATATTTCTGTCTGGAGTTATCCCATACCACTCTTAGGATACTGTCAATGGGGATATTTCTGTCTGGAGTTATCCCATACCACTCTTAGGATACTGTCAATGGGGATATTTCTGTCTGGAGTTATCCCATACCACTCTTAGGATACTGTCAATGGGGATATTTCTGTCTGGAGTTATCCCATACCACTCTTAGGATACTGTCAATGGGGATATTTCTGTCTGGAGTTATCCCATACCACTCTTAGGATACTGTCAATGGGGATATTTCTGTCTGGAGTTATCCTATAACACTCTTAGGATACTGTCAATGGGGATATTTCTGTCTCGAGTTATCCCATACCACTCTTAGGATACTGTCAATGGGGATATTTCTGTCTCGAGTTATCCCATATGCATACCACTCTTAGGATATACTGTCAATGGGGATATTTTTTACATCATATAATCATTATTATACTATAGACATAGCCAATTGCTATTGATAAGTCCATCATTTATCAAGACGATCAGAAAAAAAGGCGTATTTGCAACCAAGTGCGATGAAGAAAAACTTGCACCTTTTAAAGGGGGATCCCTCTATCCAGCCCATGGGGATAATTCTTCTATCAATCATAGACTATGGAGAGGGAAAGGTTTAGATATTATGCCATTGTTTAGAATGAGCTTAGCGATGTAAACAGCGATGGTGAGTATTGGGGGGAGTATGGGGATACTTACCTGTCTGTGGGGGATGAGAAGGATGAGAGAACTTCCTCGGCTGGGGTGGTGAGTTATTTGAGCTAGCTGAGTTGGTACTCTGGGTGTCGTAGTTAGAAGACATGCTGTGACGACTAGAATCGGACTCGTAATGCTGGTGTGAGCTGTGTGTGCTGCCTGTGGGACTCGCTGACTCGCCAGAACCCATCGACCCTGTAAATCACAAAACAACATTGCACAAGCCAATCCATGTGATCTCCAGATCTAAACAGGGCACAACCCTGGTGTCCAAACCTTAAAACCTATAAACCTACATCATGTACAGTATATAATTTGTAAGTCTATTAAAAGGCTCCGGCCTTGTAATCCCACAAGCCTCACTGGGTACCCAACATGAAACTCCGAAATCTTACTGAGTTATGACCTCGATACCCTTAAACCGTGCATGACTTTGCCCTTGAAACCCAAAAACCTTAAAGGCTTTGACCTTGAAATGTCCTTCTTAGTTCGGGCACCCCAAAATATTAAAGGTCCCTCGCTTTGAAACCCCAAAAATGTACCATACACTTACATCAAACAGCCATTTGACTGAACCTGATAGAAGCTGACTTTTAAACACCCCAATCCCCAAATTTTCACTTAAACATTACCTTACAAAACCAGGAAAATGCATTTAAGGTTACAGAAGACAACAAAAATCGAACAATTATCAAAACCTAGAATTTTTTAATAAATACACTGTAACAAATTATGTTACAGTTTCAAAGGAGAAACAACAAGCATTGTCACCTCAGTATTTTACTTTTACGACTTGAATTGAAACAGAATTCTACATCAGCTGAAAATCAGTTATCAGGTACAACTGATCGTAAAATTATTGTCAAAAAAGTCACTTCCAAACATATCTCATAAGATCACACAAGCAAATGAAGACTTTACAACAAAATTAGCACAGACGGGGCCCTAACCACCACAATTAAGCCAGGTCTGGTGGGAACACATGCACAAACAGTACTAAAAATCAAACGAAAAAAACAAGCTTGATTCATCCCGATAACAATGGCGTACAACAAACAATCCACAGGCTCAGCCTTCAGCTCGCACTACTCTGTACCCAACAAGATCTTCAGTAACAATTCAGTCTCAGTACATCCATATCAGCATGATAAAAACTAGAGTAGTATTGTAGCATCATCATATATATATATTTCTGTGTAATTTAAATTCATAATTCCATACCATTTTCACATACTTCTGACATATTTTTCATAATTTCCATGAGTTTATGATTTTAGTAAAGGGGGAGTATAATTGCTTCTAATTGTGAAAATAATATACATGAAAGCAAATACACATTTTTACTATCTATTGGATACATTTAAAGCTCACACATGGAACGAACTGATGATTTTAGCAAAATTCTCTTTACAAATAATCTGTTTGCAACTACAAAGTGCTGAATACAAATACATTGTGGTTTATTATGATAAGAAGAACTATTTGTGTTAATGCTAAAATGAAAACAGTACACACCATCTTAAATGTAGGCAAAGAGAAGAAAGATCTTATCAAAGGGAGATAATCAACAAAAGTTAATGGTGAAAAACATTTCATAATATGTATCTTCTACTCAATTAGGACAGATAGACAGAGGTCAAGTAGTAAGTGGCTAGAGACAAAGTCCAGTTCTAGACAGGTACTGGTCAACAGAGAGTACTGTGACACACCGGTCAGGGAAATCATGGAGTGACCACAGTTCTTACCATTCCGACTTGGCTTGCGCAATGCTATATTGCTTAAACTGACTACAGATGAGCTTTCAGGAGATAAATGCAATGCCGGTATCGGACGAGCATGCCTTGGCGACGTGGGCTGGCGACGCCCAGACATCGGACTGGTTAGGTTTGGAGCGGAGGGTAGAGAGTGTTTGGAGTTATGAGGACGCACTTTGTCCGTCAGACCCATAAGTTTCCTTATGGCTTCTGGAGACTCGGCACCTAACATACACAAAGAAAATTGATCGACTGTTAACATGCAAAAAATTGGGACCAGGCTCATAGTGTTTCTCAATCCTCATCCAAATGGTCAAATTAGGGACCGACTGAATTTCATCATTTTCTTTATTAATTTTTTTGTTTTACTGCCAAAGTTGAATAAAAATGAACTTATTCCTTAACAAAGAATTACCAAATATTAAAAATGTTTTAATCAAAATATTCTGAATTTATAACCAACTCCAATGAGAAATTAATTACTGGTCGAATGAGAAAGACAGCAACCGCATCAAATGGGATTAAGATTATTCATGATCCCATTTTTATTCAGAAAAGATTTGTTGAGTTGATAATATTTGTGATCTGTCTACGGGTTACATCTACAGTGAGAATGAGGGATGATAAACAGCTGATTCCGTTATGATGCAGTAAAGCATGAAGCCATTGATGTCATTCAAAAGTAATAGAAATCATACACATTCAATCAGGCACATTGACTGTCCAATAACTCTCTGTGTACTTAACACTTTAACCCTGTTTCCCTTCAGCCATTATTCAGGGCGGCCAGAAATATTGCCCACAGAATACCAGCACTTATACTGTGTGCCAGCCATGTCGTCATTTCAGAAAATCTGCCTAACATTTATTGCTGTTGGTTTGCAGTTAAATATTTTTCAAGTTAAATTTTGCTCTATTGTAATCAATATGACTTTTTAAAGCTTATTTTACAGGTATACAACATACGTAGGCTGGATACAAGCTTCACAACTTATATAGCTTCGTCCTGTATTAATGAAACTGTGGCCGATAGGTAACTTTGTAAAATTTCATTTTATAAAATCAAAATAGTGAATTGTGAGAGTTATTGGATGAGTCAGTCATTAAGTATTACATATATAAAAAAAAAGCCACGGAAACAATAAAAATTATATATCAGCTGACATTTTAATGTTTATGTTTGGGTCAAAAAAGTGATAAATCCTAGAACGGAATCATTACCACAGGGAAACAAGTCATACCAAAGTAATGAAAAATAAACATTAAAGGGATACAGGTAATGTTTGTAAAGGATAATTAATATATATATATATACTTTGTACAGCAAAAAATAAAAGAAAGAAAAAATAAACCAAACAGATAATGGCATTTAGCAGAACAAAAATACAAAGTTCAAAATGATACATATAAACTAAGTTAGGTTAGAGTCCAAAATGCAAAGAAGTCATGCTCCCTACCAAATTTCGGTCCACTAGACACGGTCTTAGGGGGTTCCATCAGGTTGGCCATGGATGCTGTTATTGAACTGGCTGATGGATCCGTCTTTTTAACTAGAAAGGAAATCACGAAATAGATCTGAATCTAAATTATGGAATATGATACAGGGATATGAGCAGACTAATGAAGGCAGTTCTAAGCATAAGGAAATCTTTAACAATGAAGGAGGATTTCAGGACTTAAAGGAAGTGTGTTTAGTTTGTGTCTATAGTCTCACATTACAATATTTCAGGTATGATTTCCCATTTGACCAGGAAAGGTATAAAATATCAATTCTAATCAAAAAGTTATTAATATCATGACCTATTGACCTTTATAACACCATGTGATTCGCAGGACTTTAATGTTTATGACGTACAAGAATTCGGACAAAAGTTCTGGAAATTATCATGTTTTAACCTCACTATCTCGATATTTATGGCGTGACAACTATTTTCCTGATTATGACGTCCTCACTGTAACAATAGTGACGTCATCATTTAAAGGTCGTGTTATAACAGTACCACAGGACAAACGGCGTGTACATTCACTATGTAATACGTCAGTTTTCCGACATATAACGGGAGAATCTGTAAATCATAACAGAATGACCGCTAACATTCAAAACCTAAGAACTTGGACCTACGTGGTGGAGCCTCACACTGGTGAGACATCTCTTTGAGTTTCTCTTCGTCTGGTATGACCTTCATGTTGCTAAGATACGACTTGACCCGACGCACCATCTGAGCCTCCTCGTACATCTTCTTGGCGTTTGGAACCGCTGACCCGCGACGGTTCTTCACACGTTTCATGGTGGCCATTCCAGAGATCCAAGAGTTCTCGTACATAGTGCTCGTCCCCAGGAACATGGTACTTACATTCTGAAATATTAGAAAATTTTAGACATCAGTAAGTTACGTATCCAACAAATTTAAGAGCCTCACTTGCTACTAACAGTTTCTAACGTCCTTTTTTCTTGACGCTTACTTTATATATTCACGTGCAATAACACCAAAGGCCTTTATACATTTTTCTTTCAATAATGGTTGCAGTATAAAAAGATTTTACTGAATATTTGTATCATATTTACTAGCCATATTCAAAACATTATCATTTCCATTCCAATACCCCATAACTCAACATCTAGACTATAAAATAGGTACCTTAACAACTACTTGGTATGAATAAATCACACCAATAGAAAATTGGACTTCAAGATGCAGGAAATATAGTATTATTGACTTAGAATATCCATGAAATACAAATAACCATCGAAACAAAAGGGGAAAAACATAAACTCTGAACAGTGTATTCCTCCATTTATTTCCGTAACAGTGACCTTGACCAGCAGTTATTGCGGAATCCATGTAATATGGTATTATCCATTTAGTATATCCACCAAGTATCCTACAATAACAGTGACCTTGACAGACAGACAGTAACAGTGACCTTGACCAGCAGTTATTGCGGAATCCATGTAATATGGTATTATCCATTTAGTATATCCACCAAGTATTCTACAGTAACACTGACCTTGACTTTAGGAACTAGTTAAACCCCCACAGACAGACAGACAGACAGACAGTGCACTTATTACAGGGTAATGTATCCCTGAAGTTAAACTTCAACAAAATACTTGGGGAATTCTCAAACTATCACTTGCTTGACTTCACCCCGGTATGTCAATTCATTACATATGTTTTCAGATGCAAGTTGTACTTTTATTTTTATATTCCAAACATGTCAAATCAGGCATGTACAGGAGTTTGTTCATTGAGTGTAGGTACTGTTGTATAATATATATCTTTACCTGAGAAATAAGTTTGTTCATTGAGTGTAGGTACTGTTGTATATCTTTACCCGAGAAATAAGTTTGTTCATTGAGTGTAGGTACTGTTGTATATCTTAACCTGAGAAATACCTGCACTGGTAGACACAAGTAAAACTTGTTTTCAATTAAAATGAATGTAGTAATATTATAAACGTAGAAACAAAAAGGAAGTTTGAAAATCCACACTATTGATACGAAAATAGAGCGCATTTCTCACATTCCAGTGGTTCCACATGAATTGTGAAAGCCCCAGGTATTGAGCTATATATATATACAGCAGATAACATAACACAAGTTACCTACCCCGACAGTACAATGCAAAACACCTGAAGGGGCCTAACAAGATTCCTGTTTTGCTAGGTAAAGCAGAACTTCTTTGAGGAGGGTTAGTGGACTAATACCCTTTGTACTGTCTTCCTTGTTATATAGGCCAAATATTAGTGTGATTTCAGTGTGAATACCCTGTTAAAAGGATAGCATGATGTCATCAATGAGGTCTGTGTATATGTAAACAACCGTGCCCTGGCAACTAACGTCAAGGTCATGGTCATTGAGAAAAAGTACTGGAGTATTCACCAACCAATCACGATACTCTTCACGTCTAATTATCGTGGTAAACAACAAACTTCGAGAATCTCCCTTTTAACATGCCTTTGTCAACATCGGAGACAATTTTGACAAATTTATGAAAATTTCCACTTGTTGAGAAATTGCTAAAATGTCTATCGTCCACATTGGAACACTTGCATATGTCTAACAATAAGAAACTGATGTCATCGCCATCAAACAATACCAAGAAATGCCCTTGTCTGGGGAAAAACGCTATACATATAGAGTTTTAAGGCCCATTGGCAATCTACTTATACAATTCCTGGCAAATTCATGGAAAATGGAAATGGTAGGAATCTTCACTTATCAGTTGAAAGAAATTAGACCAGAAAAGGAATTAATTTCAACTCACATATTTAGCAGATGCCATGTTACATATATGGCGAACCTCCTTGGCTATCATCCTGACTTTCTCAAAGTTGACGAGTGCATCCACATATGAGTCGTTAGCCAGGTGGATAAATGTGAGGTCCTTTTTTACAACAGGGAAAAATGGCAACTGTAAAGATAACAGTAAAGGTTAAATGAGATCACAAAAGTAACTTAAATCTGGTTGTTCTCACCGAAATAAACTCTTACTTATCAACAAACAAAATTTCAAAAATAGTTAAAAGTTTTAAAACCATGGTCACATATAATATAAATTATGTAAATAATGTCCTCAATAATATTACAATTTGAATATTTTAAAGTTTTGAAACGTCACTTGTAAATTTGATCGTCATTGTTTGAAAAATTATAGCAATGAGGTCTTTTTAATCTACATAAAATATAGAAATTTCCAATGATAAAAATCATAGGTTTCTTTTTCAGCAATTTTTTCCCACATTTATTTCAAAATCTGATATTATCTCATAGTTTGAATAATTGTTTCACTGATGACCTACTTACCATAGGCGGCTGACAGTTATCACTACTTATTAAATTCCTATATTTAGACATGTTCCGGGAGGGATCCATCAAGTCTTTCAGATCCTAATGTAAAATACATAGAAAATGAAACTTAGTACAAAATACACAGAAAATGAAACTTAGTACAAAATACATAGAAAATGAAACTTAGTACAAAATACATAGAAAATGAAACTTAATACAAAATACACAGAAAGTGAAACGCAGTACAAAAACACAGAAAATGAAAGTACAAATAATGCACTGAATGTATAACAATATCCAAACAAAGATGCTTTTGAATATTTGTAAACATTAAGTAAGGTAGAGACATACGTACATTGTACATTTTGGTATACTTGTTGGGTACTTTCTCCCACGTGTTTCGCAGCCTGTCCACACACGAATGACTCAAACCACTCACTACAGCAAACATTGTGTTGAAGTTTTTACAGTCCTTACAATGTCCTGGAACATAAAAATCATCACCCCATGTTACCATCTCATAAAGTTATAAACTTTAAATGTTATAGTGTAATATGTAAGAGTTGGCTAGTCACATGCTCTTTTAACAACAGCTTCATTGTAACAGGTATTTGATGGCTGTTGTTAAATTACACGATAATTAGATACAGAAATTGGCTAATCTAACTATTCCATTCAGAACTTAGCTAATTACAATTTTTTAATGTGAAATTTGGCAACTTACGTGCTATTTTGATAAAGTGTTTGATGAGCTTCACGCGTCGGACAATGTTGGACTCGCTGCATACCTCGGTGACAACCCAGAACATTTCCTTGTTGACCAGCTGACAACAGAATATTAACACTCATGCATGGTCTCATAGCAAAAGAAACTACAGTGAAATCTCTTGATCCAGACTGAATAATTCAAAAATCTGTCTTTTGCTTCCAGACTCATATCAGTAAGGAATTAGATTGTTTCTAAAAGGCAATTTTTCATTTATCCACAACAAAACAATGATATTGAGATCTAATGGCTGGAATTGGAGAGATGGACCGTACTGTTGCCAACACGAATGTAAACTGTTTCCAGATCATATTGTTCATCTAATGCTTTAAATCAGTAAACAAAATTATGAATAAATATTTTATCAAATAAAAACATTGACAAATTCTTCCTAAAAGTAAATTCTGATCAAACTGTCTTTTAGGAAACCTGTTACTAAGGAACTCGTAAAATTATGGGGGAAAAAAACAGTTCTCAAATCCATTTTATTTTCCACATATGAAGTATCTTACAATTTCTTGCAAAAACTAACACTCGCACCATTATTGGTATAAGCAGTACTCACATCATCATTGGTATAAGTAGTACTCACATCATCATTGGTATCAGCAGTACTCACATCATCATTGGTATAAATAGTACTGACACACCATCATTGGAATAAGCAGTACTCACACCATCATTGGTATAAACAGTACTCTCATCATCATTGGTATAAGCAGTACTGTCATCAACATTGGTATAAGTAGTACTCACACCATCATTTGTATAAACAGTACTCACATCATCATTGATATAAACAGTACTCACATCATCATTGATATCAACAGTACTCACATCATCATTGGTATACGCAGTACTCACATCATCATTGATATAAACACTACTCACATCATCATTGGTATAAATAGTACTGACACTCCATCATTGGTATAAGCAGTACTCGCATCATCATTGATATAAACAGTACTCACATCATCATTTGTATAAGTAGTACTCACATCATCATTGGTATAATCAGTACTCACACCATCATTGGTATAAACAGTACTCACATCATCATTGGTATAAATAGTACTGACACACCATCATTGGTATAAGCAGTACTCACACCATCATTGGTATAAGTAGTACTCACACCATCATTGGGATAAGTAGTACTCACATCATCATTGGTATAAACAGTACTCTCATCATCATTGGTATAAACAGTACTCACGTCATCATTGGTATAAGTAGTACTGACACGCCATCATTGGTATAAGCAGTACTCACATTATCATTGGTATAAGCAGTACTCACATTATCATTGGTATAAGCAGTACTCACACAATCATTGGTATAAACAGTACTCACGTCATCATTGGTATAAGCAGTACTCACACAATCATTGGTATAAACAGTACTCACGTCATCATTGGTATAAGTAGTACTGACACACCATCATTGGCATAAGCAGTACTCACATCATCATTAGTATAAGTCGTACTCACATCATCATTAGTATAAGTCGTACTCACATCATCATTAGTATAAGCAGTACTCACATCATCATTGGTATAAGTAGTACTCACACAATCATTGGTATAAACAGTACTCACATCATCATTGGTATAAACAGTACTCACATCATCATTGGTATAAGTAGTACTCACATCATCAGTGGTATAAGCAGTACTCACATCAAAATTGGAATAAGGATGACTCACACCATCATTGGGATAAGTAGTACTCACACCATCATTAGTATAAGCAGTACTCACATCATCATTGTTATAAGAATTACTCACACCATCATTGGTATAAGTAGTACTAACACCATCATTGGTATAAGCAGTTCTCACATCATCATTAGTATAAGTAGTACTCACACAATCATTGGTATAAACAGTACTCACATAATCATTGGTATAAGTAGTACTCACTCCATCATTGGTACAAACAGTACTCACATCATCATTGTTATAAGAATTACTCACACCATCATTGGTATAAACAGTACTCACATCATCATTGGTATAAGAAGTACTGACACACCATCATTGGTATAAGCAGTACTCACATTATCATTGGTATAAGTAGTACTCACACCATCATTGGTATAAGCAGTACTCACATCATCATTAGTATAAGTAGTACTCACATCATCATTAGTATAAGCAGTACTCACATCATCATTAGTATAAGTAGTACTCACTTCATCATTAGTATAAGCAGTACTCACATCATTGTTGGTATAAGTAGTACTCACATCATCATTGGTATAAGTAGTACTCACATCATCATTGGTATAAACAGTACTCACATCACCATTGGTATAAACAGTACTCACATCATCTTTGATATAAACAGTACTCACAGCATCATTAGTATAAGTAGTACTCACAGCATCATTAGTACAAGCAGTACTCACATCATCATTAGTATAAGCAGTACTCACATCTTCAAATTTCTTTAGGTTCGGACAGCCATACTTGGACTTGAGCGCAAGAAGGTTGTCAACATACTCGGTAGACTCGATGTCCTTGAATACCTTGAAGTCCTCTAGGGTGATCTGTGAGGCGACCTCTGTTGTGTTGAGTTGTAGGAGACTGATGTGAGCCTCCTTGATAAGGTCGGCCCTCAGCTCATCGGGGACGAGCGTCTCTGTATTCATGTTGTTTTTGAGATAATACCTGAGTACACAGGGAACAGTACGCCTGATGAGTGACAATAAAAAAACAGCCAAGATTAGCCCCTGGAAACCAAGCCACTGTCTGCAGCGACCGCTTACAGTTCGGGAGTGGGAATGGGAGAGAGGACACTTGATGGCCCGGCCATTGCATTCATTAATAGGGGTACAGTGTTACACACATACTATAATAACAGTTCCCATACAAAAAGGCTGCCCCAGGATCTCGCTGCTCAAATCACAATTCAATTATACTGAAACTTCACAAAAATTTACTAAATTCTAGTTTCACTCAAATCATAATCCAATGTTAACTTTTAATTTAAAAATTGAAAGAGAAGACTAACAGAAATGTTCCATCCAGATTATTTTTGAATCAGCGGCGCTTTTCAAATATCTATCTTGTAAGGAAATATATGCTTCGTTGAGTTTATAATAATCAGTGAATTACACAGTTATTGAAAATTTCAATATTCTTCTTTACTCTTGAAATTGTTGCTTGGTCAATTTGAACAGCCATCTCCTGGACGAAGGATGAGATAGCAACCAATAGGATGAAAGGTTACAACACACACAATAGGGAACCATCAATATCGCGGTCAGTAACTGGTCAGTTGATGTCAGACTCAATATTCATTAGTACTAGGGCAGCATTCTTTGTTAATCATGATCACCATTTTTTGTTTGTTAAAGGCTGTTTTAGGTTGTAAGTAAAACGCACCAGTGCTTATTGATGATACCAACAGAACAAGGTCTGAAGAGTCTGAGTACAGCTCAGGGACGTGAACCTCAGGGTTTTACAACAGATTTCTAAAATTCAATTGAGCAAATGAATTTTCATGGGTCTTTTATTTGCTTAAAATATTTATCAAATTTGTAAATGGAAAACCCTGTTGCTGTATTGCATTATTAATATCAAACGACACATTCAAAAGATTCAATGCCAACTCATGATGAAACACTAGATGCCATGAACAATGAGTCGGACCAATGAATGCAGTTGTACCAAGGTTCATTAACTTAACGACACAGAAACACATGAGTTTTCATCAAAATACAAAACATATCTGTTCAAGGAAAGAATGCTAGTGACTTTAAATCCCAATTAAACCATTTTTGTTCGCAACTGGAAGAGAAAAAGTAGATGAAGCTTTATTTTTAATAAGTGTCGAGGCGCTAATAAACTTTGATACAACTGGAGCCAGTATAACACAGAAATGAAAACATACACAAGTCACACTTCATCTCCATGCACAAACTAGAAAATGTTCAACTTTTATTTTCTGTTTCTTGCTTACAGCTGATTCACTACATAAATACAACACAATGAAAATACAAGGCTCTCTTCAGCAAGCCGGGTCAGGGAAGAAAAAAGATTGACATCTAATTCTTCCCCCTGTTTGAAGACCCACTTAAACCTTGTATTTTAAATATGGTAACCTTTATCCTGCAAGCCTCATTTTACTGCATAAACACTCTTTTTTTCTTGTGTGCATGTTGAATAAGGTTAAGATTTTACAGTCAGTGAGATCTCAACATTTAACGATGCCCTTCATCTGCTGATCATGAAATTAAAGTCTCTTTTATTTTACATTTTCTGCTTGCAGGATAAAGTTTATGATCAAGTTTAAGTGAACTTTGTTGATCAGAACACTGGAAATAAACAAGAGGCCCATGGGCCTTAACGGTCACCTGAGTCTATAGTATTTATTTTTGTTGTTGAAATATGTACCAATTTGAGTAAAAAATAGTATAATGTTAACTTAACTTTGTCAGGACCATGAGCTGATCATTCCTAGACCAATTTTAAGTGAGATCGGCCTATTAGAACTTAGTAGCAAAATAGCGGCCATGGCAGCCAAATTGTATTTCTGATTGACCCGAAAAATAACAACACTTTGTCAGGACCATGATTCGATCATTCCTACAAAGTTTCAGTTCAATCGGCCAAGTAGATCTTTACTTTAAGTTTGAAATAGTTTACCAAAATGGCAGCTGTGGTGGCCATATTGGATTTCTGATCGACCTGAAAAATAACAACACTTTGTCAGGACCATGAGTCAATCATTCCTACAAAGTTTCAGTTCAATCGGCCTAGCAGAACTTGACTTTAAGTTTGAAATATGTTTTCAAAATGGTGGCCGTGGCGGCCATATTGGATTTATGATTGACCTGAAAAATAACAACACTTTGTCAGGACCATGAGTCGATCATTCCTACAAACTTTAAGTTCAATCGGTCCAGCAGAACTTGACTTTAAGTTTGAAATAGGTTTTCAAAATGGCGGCCGTGGTGGCCATATTGGATTTCTGATCGACCCAAAAAATAACAACACTTTGTCAGGACCATGAGGCGATCATTCCTACCAACTTTCAGTTCAATCGGTCCAGCAGAACTTGACTTTAAGTTTGAAATAGGTTTTCAAAATGGTGGCCGTGGCGGCCATATTGGATTTCTGATCGACCCGAAAAATAACAACACTTTGTCAGGACCATGAGGCGATCATTCCTACCAACTTTCAGTTCAATCGGTCCAGCAGAACTTGACTTTAAGTTTGAAATAGGTTTTCAAAATGGCGGCCGTGGCGGCCATATTGGATTTCTGATCGACCCGAAAAATAACAACACTTTGTCAGGACCATGAGGCGATCATTCCTACCAACTTTCAGTTCAATCGGCCCAGCAGAACTTGACTTTAAGTTTGAAATGTAAAATGTTAACGGACGACGGACGACGGACGACGACGGACGAAAACGGATAGCAATAGGTCACTTGAGCTAAAGCTCAGGTGACCTAAAAAATGAAAAAAATATATATATCTTTCAGAAATTCCTGCTTTATTAAATAAAATAAAGAAATTGTTTTAATTGTACTCTTACAACTTTTTCAGGAAGACATAATTTGATTATTGTGCGCAGGTTAGTGAAGTTGTGCTGTGTACAATCTCCTACTAGATAATTACTGGGTACACCTGACAGTATCACAAACACACACTGACGCTTTTATTTATGAAAACCTAGGATAATTTGGTGGATTTCAAACTTTACTGATACGTTCTGCTTGGTTTGAAGAACGCTTGTCTCTCTTACTACAATTCTTTGTCAAACTTGCTGCACAAGAACTTCTTTGCGAAGCTAGAACTATTTACATCAAAATTTCAGAGGAATGAAATGATAAAATTTGACCAATTTATTACATGTCTTGGTAGGGTAATATTTTGTGATTGTCATAAATAAACATTAATCAAAATCAATCATAATGTCCAAAATATAGTTTTACCTCCTAAAACAAGACAGGCAAGCTAGGCAGATAATCAACAATGAGCAACCTGTCTTGTAACAGGCACAACTAAATAAATCACAAAATGTCAATTTAATATAAGCTACCAATTGAAATCTCCAATAGCTCTATGTTTGAGTAAATCACCACTTTTCTCCATTATAACAGTGTGTGTTTGTCTTCACAAGGTCTATTGTCTAGGTTATAAAACAAACACTCCCAAATCACTAAATGTTCACGAAAGTTACAATCAAGACACGATCTTGAACATTTGATGATTTCCGATAAAGAAAGTCCTTTTTTCAGGGATCATGACTGATGGATATCCCATCCAGTGGTAGAATTAGAAGGGAACAGCCCAGGACCAGTTGCTTTCCCAGCCAAATTGTTTATTTCCCATGTAAGAATATTGCCGAGATATTTTCTCAAAAAAAATCTTCATTCNCCCCCCAAGTTCTCCAAATAACTACGACAACAGCTGACAAATTACAGAACATCTGTACATAGCCAGCGATTGCTAATCAAAATGCTAAAAGCTTACTAAACTTAAAAGCTCTAATTCACAAAATGAACTATTTTCACACACCTGTAAGAAATTTTTGTCAGTTATTTTTTGTCAGATTTTCAAAACAAGAAATAAAAAAAAAACTACTTTGTTTAGCCAACAATTTTAGCTTTGAACACCTGAGTTCTGTCAATATAATCAGACCACAACAACTTCATTAACAGATGATGATATCAATTGAAACTTTAACCAAAATGTCGTACTCTTGATCAGTGATTCCGGCTAAACTGATTTCTTAATAAACTGAAGTAGGATATTACTCAAAAATCTACATGTAAATAACTTGTGACAGAAAAGCAGTGGCACAGTTTTCTTTTTGATGGAAAGAAAGAAAGAAAAAACCCCACAAACAAAGTCAAAAGAAGATAAAACAGAGATACTACATGCAGAGTTCAAACAAGCAGTACGAAGCCAGGGATACAAAGGGAGACAATTTGTAACAAGGGGAGGTAAGTGTGGAAGCCATACTTTTGATAGCCAGGCCTGTACACTATGACACACCAGCATACACATTCCCATTTTTCAGAGTTCTGATTTTAAAGTATATCAAATAATAAATCTCCCTACCAGGTGTATAAGTTTAAGGTCATGGTAGTTATGATTTATCAATACAAGATTATGTTATTTTTTCAAAATATAAGATTACCATTAGGTTCCAGATTAGATATAGATCTTGTTTCGAGATTATAAATGAGTAAATGTTTAACAATAAAGCTTAAGCAAAACTGTTACACTTTTTTCAATATCTGTCTCAGTTATTGATCAACTAAACGGAAAGGCAAAGTCAAGTCAGCCGCCAAACATGGATATGAATCAGAAGGACTTCTCTAGACATCAGCCATTCAGCAGTTTTCTATACATGCACAGTCACCAGTAAAGTAGCCAAATGTCACTCAAATAATTAACGGGCTTTAGTTAGTAATAAGGCCAGTTTCCAGGGGCTTACATACTTACAATCATATTCATGAACTTCACAACACAAATTTATGGCTTTTTGTTTTCAAAAATACACAAAAAGAAACATGATGTATGAATTTTATACAAAAATTTCATGAATATATATTCAATGCATGCTATCAAAGAAGAAATATTTGTCCACAATTGATAGTAACACTGACATGCCTGGAGTATGTGGGTATAGGTTCATAAATAGAATTTACTCATCTATAGATGCAAACATTTGTATGAATGTGATTAATTACTGATGATGAATTTCAGCTTGATACGGCGTACAGTACCTAATGAATTAGCTGTTCCTGCGACAAAATCTACACATGTGATGAACTACTATTTCCAAGCTTTCTGATAAAGCTGAAAGCAGCCATTAAAGTCATTTAGATGATGCTCTGAACGGATAATATCATCACATTTTGACAAAGTCATCCAAGGTCAACTTTCCACAACATAATGGCTATTCTATAGGTTCAAAATGCAGACAATCTGTTATCAAAATAGATAGGGCATCATCAAATTTGTTTGTGTTAAGAAGAGGAAAAAAAAATTAAATTAATATTTTTTGTGGGTGTAATAAAAAGGAATTTGGGTTGGGATCCATCCCATAGAGTTATTAAAATGTGTGTTCCTGCACCAGGCCTGACTCCCAGAGATTTTGTCAGTGATCTGTCACAGTATGGGATATGACAGGTGATACAACAGTACAGCTAGGTATCTCTAAAGAATAACTCGGAGAAAGAGAAGAGTTACCTCCCATTGTTCAGGATGTCTATGTTAGATCTCCGTAATTCTTAACCTCAGAATTTAACACTTTTAAAAAAAATAGATAATTTTTAAACACTCAAGACCTTCCTCTGTTGTGATGAGGAATTAACAAATTTTCCACAAAAATGTTTTAAACTTAAATTTGGATTTTTTGAGAAAAAGAAAGAGATAAAGAGTGTATTTTCGAATCTGAAGTTTCTTGATACATTGAGCTATTCTTTAGATATTTTACAAGTTAAAAACTACCCTTGGGAATTCTAGAATTTTTGACAAGACAGATACAAACAAAGACAGAATTATAAAAGTATACTTGGTCTAAAACTGGAGACTTTGATCAAGAATGGTGAGATCACAAAACAATGTCAAACGAAGGATTCAAACAGTAGGATAGGAAAGATATTTTGATACTCAAGTTTTGTATCAATTTTTAACAGAAGTCAAACTCTGAATGAGGAAAGCAGACTATTTCTCTACAAAGGGTCCAGTGGAAGCCATATATATGACAGGAAGGAGTTCAGAAGACAAAGGACAAAGCAGTAAAATTATAGAGGTGCATTTAAGACCTAAAGCATATCTAGAGAACAGGTTAGATTTACTAGGTATCATATTGTGAAAATATCTAAAATTGTTAGTGAAAATTTCAGAGGTTTTGCAAACATAATCTATGTTGCTTGATTGTTTTATTTTCACAAAGCACATTTTTGTTTTAACACTGTTTCAAAGAAGTAATTTTTCACTAAAAGAGAATGAAAAGCAAGGTATATGAAATATAAAATATAACAAAACATAAAATAAATAATTTCATGAAATAAATGTGACCCCCACCACCAGGTAACAAACACCTGTGCAATATGTTAACAAGTAACAGAGTGTGTGATTGGTGGAAATTTGAAAACCAACATCCATATTAGTTTTTCTAACCAATCAACACTTCCGTTACAACAGACATTGGCTGACATACCTTCCATTGAGATTCTGTCTTTCGGGTAAGTTACCGAGTTGTTCAGGCAAACGCTTCTGTTTTACCAAACTTTCATTTTCCACTGTCACTTCACATAGCGAGTAATTACTGAAAATACAGTTTAATACATGTTATTGTTATCCATGATTCTATTTGTCACATGTATCACCCCTTCTTTACCCCCACCTCAACCCTTTACCTTCCCTATTGATACCTTGTAGTATTTTATAATCAACAAGATTGGTTATATATATACTTTCTTGTCTGAATTCCCACATTTTATAGATCTCTCCTGTACCATGCTCCAAAACAAACACTATCTATATACATCCTTTGAAGACTTCAGAGGGACCCTGTTAAGACCTAGGACACATGCTACAGCTGACACTTAGAGTTACCCTGTGGCTACCAGCTCACCAGGGTTTAAACCCTCAAGGCCTTCACTGACGACCAGGGTTGGTGTCCCAAATATTTACATATCTCATTTCCATGAATTCAGGCAACCTTGTACAAAACACCTCAAATTTGATGAAAAACTATAAACTTGTCATATTTGATACAAGGTGAGACAGAACATGTTGTAAAGATATCGTAGCGAGATTATTTATCAATAACCAACGTTAGAAACTTCTCTGTATCAACATCATCCTCTGAACATACAGAAAAATAAAACGATGACATGGTAGTCGAGAATAAATGGCCTAAACAAAAAAATCAGTTGCATCATTGTCATGACTTATCCCCTATAAAATTACCTGCTGACTAGATTTTCTTACTTTATGTTTGGTTTCACTCCCAAGGGTTCACAAGTTACACTTTGAGCCCTCCAGTTACAATGTGTAACTCTTGATATTTTCACATCTTTTTAAACACTGATATACATTGATAGTCTTCTCATTACTCACCTACTAGGGTCAGTTACTCACCTACCGGGGTCAGTTACCCACCTACTAGGGTCAGTTACCCACCTACCAGGGTCAGTTACCCACCTATTAGGGTCAGTTACCCACCTACTAGGGTCAGTTACCCACATACTAGGGTCAGTTACCCACCTACTAGGGTCAGTTACCCACCTACTAGGGTCAGTTACTCACCTACTAGGGTCAGTTACTCACCTACTAGGGTCAGTTACTCACCTATTAGGGTCAGTTGCCCACCTACCAGGGTCAGTTACCCACCTACTAGGGTCAGTTACCCACCTACTAGGGTCAGTTACTCACCTACTAGGGTCAGTTACTCACCTAACTAGAGTCAGTTACTCACCTACTAAGGTCAGTTACTCACCTTCTAGGGTCAGTTACTCACCTACAAGGGTCAATTACCCACCTTCTAGGGTCAGTTACTCACCTACTAGGGTCAGTTACACCAAACTCCTGCAGCGCTAACATGACAACTTCTCTTGCTGTGGTTTCCTAAATTGTAAAATAAAAAGAAATAAAATAAAATCAGTTCTAATTTCAAATAAAAATAAATCAAGCAACAAAGTAATTTCTGACCATTACCATGCTATGACCGCCTCATTTTTTCCTGAAAATAATGAAAAAATACATGTCTAAAAATACATGTTCTAAAAATGCATGTCTAAAAATTCATGTCTAAAAATACAAATGAGACAAGGAAGAGATCACCTACCTTATGGATGGGAAGAAATTTGAAGGACTGGTCAGCTCTATAAACTTTGACCACATGATCTGGGAGATCTTGTTTCACGTCGTCCACGGCTAGTGAGGATAAATCAGGATTACTAGCACTGAGGTGTGTACTCATTCCTGGTGATAGGGAAGACGCTGATGTCGTCGACGTCTGTCGTAGTGGACCCGAATAAAGGCTCTCATCTGATTTGTTCATACTCTCCCTGTAAAATATGTTATTTTATAGTGTGTAATTTTACATATTACCATCATACAATCAAATTAATCAAATTAATCAAGAGTATACATGTATTTGTCTGTTTGTCAAACATTTACTGATGTACAACAAGCTTCAGATGTTGAGGAAAATAATGGTCTGGAAAACCAGCCATCTGGATCATCAAATTTTATGCAAAGATATAATGTATAAAGTAGCATGTAGCCTTATAACTCTAAATTTAATCACAAGTATAAATCATAAGGTAGCATATACCCTTAACTCTAACACAAGTTCGTTGTGTTAAGTAATATATAATCTTAACTGTATGAGTTTCATACATACCCTTCCATACTCGACACACTAGAGTTACGCGGTAGAAATTTCTTGATAATATTTTTGCGTCCCAGTGTATTAAACCAGGATCTGTCTTTCTTCTCCGGCTTCTTAGTTCCCTTAGATTTAATGAGTGGGGAGGTGAAGTCTTCTAGATTCGGTGCCGACAGTCGTTTACTCAACTGCCCACCCACATCCTGTTTCTCTGATTTACTAGATCGATCTGCTGCCAGCAACATTTCTTTAAAATCTGCAATTGATGCAGAATATCCCAAATTCAACTCCAGTAAGTTCTTATTATACTTCAATGCTTTTTCTTATACCCTTGCTGTTATGTGTATAAAACATCCAGTCTCCTGAATATTGAATACAAGCATTGTTTATTTTTATGTTTAAATTGACTCATATGAGGTGAAATGCTTCTGTTGTCTTGTAAATTATATTGGAGTGTGATAAACAGGTGAATTATCCCC